GCATTAGTAAAAGATGCTAATACTCACTAGCACCCATTCATTTACTATCTTGATAGACTTTGAGCAGTTACATAATACACAAACACCAACTAACACCCATCAAAGCTACGGTAATATCTCACGAACACTCTCCAACATCAACTTAGAACTGTTTTTTTCTAAAAAATTTTACTTTTAGAATGTAAACGAGATATATTAATTAATGCATTATAACTCTTTATCATTGTTTACAGTAGATCTATAGAATAAACTGGCTATTTATTATATGAGTGTTATATGGATTATATCATTTGCGCTTAGTTGATATTACAGGTGGCTCACGACGCTTAGGTTGTCCAGGTTTTCGATCGGCTTGTAGAGGAATGCTGAAGTCAACCGTCACTTGAGATAATGCTGAAGGTAACAACGAATAGTAATCTTTGATTAATTGTTTGCACTGCTCCATAGTTTTATTCTACCAGATATGCGCATTGCGAACGAATCTAAAAAGTACTACAGGGAAGGATTTTTTTAGAATCTATCTTTGTATAACTTCTATATGAAGGTATCAAGGTTGTGGGTGTTGTTGTGTTCTATAACAATACATCCACATCCTCGGGATTTGTATAAAGTTTGAAAAGATTAATATCTATTCAATTGTCGATCTACCATTGGCTATTTTTCTAAAGATATTAAATGATATTTTTGAGGATGTAATTGTGAAGAGTAATGTTGAAAGTAAAAATCTTATAGAAGAAAAGATTGAGAAGTTTTCGTTTTATATGATCATTATCTTGCCAAGATTTGCGGTACTTTTATTCATGACGGAACCTTTTCAAGTGATAAATCGCTTTTGAGTCATAATCATGTATATTATATAGACCCAAATAATCTATAAATACTCTGAAAAGAATTCGTGTCCATAGCTTATTGGTGTGAAGATACTGCACTTTGATGGTATATTTTTAATCAATGTCATGGTCTCTCTCAAGAACACTAGGAAAACTCATGTTCAAATTTCAACTTGAAACATAAACAGACCTTTGTGAGTATAGTCTATTCTGAAAATTTGAGATCTTTTTGTTAGTCTTATTCTAAAGTATAGCTATGATAAAAGCATGTCTGTTATATCACTCATATACATCGAGAGACTTGATGCCCTTATTTTAGGATAGAACAAATCAAAAGCTTTGAAACTTTCATAATAAACTACTCCCATCAAGACCTGCTTCTATACAAAGTTTCAACTCGAAATTCGAAAATAAGTTTTCCGACACATATTATATTTTATTTATGGATTATTTCTTTTTTATTTTATATTTATTTAAAAATCATCTATTTTTATAATATTGAAGGAATACAAACAACAATGCAAAGAAGAAAAATATACTATTTAATCCTTTTCAGTTTTAGAGTGTAGGGATGTCTAAATGTGTTTTTTTTTTAAAGTCGATTGTTTTCTGTAGTCGATAAACTTCACAAGTGGTCATCTACTCTATTACTAATAATTGATAATGATGCAGTTCTAAATTGGGCCGGACACCTCATTCAAAGTTTTTCTCGTCCGACTATTCGAACTCTGCATTCACACAACCAAAACAGGTTATTTTCAAATCATGTTAATCAAATATAGTTAACTCTTTCATTCATACAATGACATAAAAAATTGATATATAGCAATACACAAAGAAGAGAAAAAGAAACGAGTGACAAAGGAACTTATTTTTGTCCATAGTACATGATACCGATGTTCATTCCATCTGTTATCAAATTTACAATAAAAGTAGATAGATCAATGGAATTCGAAGCTTCATTACCAATGATCTTATTTCTATCATATTATTGTCCTTTAAGTAAAGGACTCAGTGAAGTTTGCTTTGCATTGCTTTCAATTTATCTGATGGAGCATAGTTGTTTTCCTTCAAGAATGGAAGAAATTTTTTTGGAAGATAATTATTCACAATTCAATGGTTGTTTTTTCTCGGCATTACACAGATTGTGTCTATGTTTTGCAGTCATATGATTTTGTGTAATCCTTTGATTAGGAATGGATCATAACCAGACAGCAAATATACTTTGAATGAAGTATAAGATTTTAGACACATTTACACTGGCTCGCATTCAGAAATATTGAAAGATATACATGAAATTATAGAAATTTTGGATGAAAGTATTGGCGGTCGTATTTTCTTCTGTGACGTTTTTGTTACTCATTAAATTGCTGCCATGCTTTGAAAATCGTGTTTTTTTTTTCAGTCTCAAAAGTCACTTGTTGAAAAAGAAACATGTGAACTTTATCTATCCTCATAGACTAGTCCGCAGCGTTTTTTTTTTCATAAAACCAAGAGGAATAGTGTTAAAAGTACATCAAGTGAATGCTAAAATTAAAAATTGCTGGATATCCTTTTGTCAGTTGATATCATCAATACCCATACACAGGAGAAAGAACGTACTGCGTCATCACATAGTTATTTTTTCTTTCCCATTTCTTATCTAACAAGGTATTACTATTGTCTTTTTGATTGATACAATTTGCATTTTTCTTGACAGTTAGAATGATGATTAATGTCGTTACCTAACTATTCTAAACCGTAATAAACGAAGAAGAAAATAATGTGCACCACAAGGACAAGTTATCTATTGATAAAAATGAGACGCTTATTTTACATCGAAGATTGTTATGCGAACGCATACTGAGATTTCTTCTTTTTTTTTTGAATTTACTGGATTTTCTTCAAAATTTCGGATTTTTTTTCCATGTCATATGTTCTGAAAATAGTATATTTTTGATCGGATTAATTGGAAGAAATTAGTTCTTAACTGTCCTTTGAAAAATATCTGTTCAAAAATTTCTTCGACTTATCGTTATCATAAATAATTGTCCTTAGTAAAAATGTTCTCGAGTAATAATCTCTCTTGTGACAATGTCTCCCATTTTCAACTGCTAATTTCTAAATATATTAGTAGTGAAACATGGAGTGAGGTTGTGAGTTGTCTACTAACCTCCGAATCTTTTACTAAAAAGTTATTTGATCAGGTCAGCAGTAAGCAAACTATCACTCAAGAATTATTATTGGGATATTCACTATCTGCTACGAATATAAAATAAAACCAAAATTGATTGATTAGCTATAATAAAATAAGCTAAGATTCTAGAAATCCACATTGAAAGCAGAATTATTATCCTGTTTTTTTTATTTTATGGTTAGATAGAATGTGACGATTTATTAGGAAGAACATTATTAATTTAATTTACTGGATTTTCTCTTCCTTATTTATATGTTTTTTTTTTAAATTAAAGTTTGAAATTAAAAATTAGAATTAATTAATTGAATCACATTTAGTTTGAATAACATAATAATAATAAATTATAAAACTTTAAATTAATTTAAAATTTGTGATGGTTCGACAAACGACATTATCTTCATCAGACTCATAGGTATGTGAAATTTATTTTGATTTTACTTTTATATTTTATTTTATTTCATATGCTTAACATACGATAGTGGGACAATGGTACTGGTAGGAGAGATGAACTATTCGTCTTCTTCCTTCATCCCTTCCGTCATATGTTACACATATGAAAGAAAATATAAAAATAAAATCAACGAAACGTTACAAATTTTAAATTAATTTAAAGTTTTATAATTTATTATTATTATTTTATTCAAACTAAATGTAATTCAATTAATTAATTCTAATTTTTAATTTCAAACTTCAATTTAAAAAAACATCGTATACATAACGAAGAGAAAATACAAGTCAATTACAGCGCACCTCAATTGAATTTTCTCCTTGTATTTCTTTTTTTAGACAATAATAGTTTGCTTTTTTTTCAATAATGAGTATATCGCGAGAAAGTAGAGACTTCACTGCATCGGATGATATACTAATCATAAATAGTAAATAGAAATCAAACAGCAAAAAATACATCAGAAAAAAAAAGATAGTATTTTTTTCGCTATAATCTGTAATAAGAGTAAATAGAATTTTTATCTTTCCGTTGTTTTTTGAGGTGTTGATGAACATAAGTGTCAATTATTGTTTGAATATTCATTAGTTCATTTTTTTAGACTTTTTCATCTGATTAATAAAACATAGTAACGTGTTATTATTAATAGAAATTTTGAAAAAAATCTAATTTCAAATTAGTGCATATTACTTTACGTGATGGATCGAAGTTCAAACAAACATTAAATTTGTTCTCTGTTTTGTATTTATCTTCTCTAGTTTCCTCTTGAATGTTCCTTTGTCTATATCTACACTGAAAGAATATCTCATATATCAAATAAATATCACCATTAGACAATCTAATTTGGCATTTATTTGAGGAAGCCATTATCCAATCACAGCAACAAATCTTCTTTCGTCACTCTTTTCAAAAGCTTTTTATTCATTATCAAGAGAAAAAATCCGCAGTGCATATCGCAAATGCGCTTTTAATTATCTATGAATATGATGTATATTATCAGTAATTCTTCGTATAAATAAACATTTTCTTTCCTATGATCTAGTTAAAATGTACGTTGTAGTGAAAAAAATACTATCTTTTTTCTGATGTAGTTTTTGTTATTTGATTTCTATTTGTTATTCATGATTATTATATGAGATTCAGTGAAGTTTGTACTTCCTTCGCCATATACCCTTTATTGACAAAAAGCAAACTGTAATACTCTAAATTAAGAAATACAAAGGAGGAAAATTCAATTGAGGAACACCTTAATATATAGCATACTGAATGGCATGCACTATTATTGCATTTCGAAGAAATATGAGATAAATATTGGCAAATTTTAATTCAGTTTTCGAGATTGCAAAACAAACTTAATATTACAGAATAGATTAGTCATTTAAAATTGTCTTAGAGTTACTTAAAATTGATGTTATATCACACAAACAAAGACTTTGCAATTGAAATAAATTTCATATAATCAAAAAAACAAAAAAAAAATGAACTACAAGACAATAGAAAAATGAGTTTTATATCTGACAGAGAAGATTAAAATATCATCAAGATTAATTTAACATTTATCTAAAAACCAATCATTTATATTTTCATACCAAATACGTTGTTTATTTGTATTTAAACGATAACATAATTCACAAAATCGATATGGATCAAGATCTTTTGCTTCATGATAAACATCATAATAACGTCTCCAACGATGATATTTTTCATATAAACTTCTATTTGTAGCTATTAAATTTAATGTTTGAGCGAGTTCTTTATCTGATGTATAATCATCAACATGAATAAATGAATCAGGTGGAGCGATACGTACAAAATTTTCACGCTCTGGTCCACTAACAATTGGTATAGCGCCAAGAGCAAGTGTACGCCAAAATTTTTCTGTTATATAATCTGTACATGTTTGAGATTCAAAAGCAAGATAAAATTTAGAATTTGTTAAATAATTTTTTTCACATGATGATTGTCGATGACATTCTGAATCCGATTGAATTTGAGCATTGAGAGAGAACGATTCATTTGATGCTATACATTTACCGAAGGCAGCTATTGAATAATAACGTCGAAGTGAATGAAATTTTTTCAACCGTTTTTGTGGTAGACAGTTTGACACAAACCTGAAGATTATGAATAATTAAATAAACAAGAAAAGATTTTCAGATTATTTCTATTTTTAATATTAATTAATCGAACTCTAACTTATTTTCATTTTTTTCTTCTTAATTAAAATGAATTCATCGAATCAAACTTTTAAAGACAAAATTTTTTTAATAGTTTTTGATACCTAAATTCATTGATATAATAAAAGAATCCAAAAAAAGTAGTTCACATAGTTCAAGCCTAAATTGATTTTTTTTTCATCTATTCTGTCATGAAAATATATTAGTTCTGGCTTCCTTCTTAAAAAAAACATACTAATAGTGTGTTTAAAACCTTAGCAGTATAAAACTTGTTTTAGTTATTAATATGCACTGAATGTCTTATCAAACGTTTATCCAGAGTTGGTATAGAACCTCGAAAAGTGAAACATCGAAAAGAAAAACGTTACATAATTTTAAAATTGTCAGTAACAAAACTGTTGGTTTTGTTCTTGAGGGTGTGAAGTTATCTTTGCCTATCCATCCACACATACACTCTTCTCTCAAGAAGGAAACGAATGCAAAAGAACTATTGTTAGGTTTATAATTGTTAATCGAAAAGAAAAAAAATATAAGGTCTTATTAGATTGTCAATTTTCTCTTATTGTTTTCATTCTAAAATATTAAAGCACAGGACTTATCATTTATCAAAAGGAAAAGATCTCATCATTTCGACATTTTGCTTTTAGGATTGTTTTCAATTTCGATAATTTTCATCAGAATTTTTTATGTCAAAAAATGTTTTCAAAGTTTACTATTTGTTATTCTGATAATCGGAATAGATAGATAATGTACCATATAGCTTGATTATGCCTTTTAATAAATTGTTCATCAATCCATGAATCAAATTGTTCTATAGACCATGGCTTTTGTTTAACAATTGTTATTCCATAAGCTCCTATTGATGCTTCAGCACTTGTTCGATATGTTATTGTCCAATTGAATTTAAATTTATTTATTCGTGGTGAATTTTCATTTGATTCATCATGCCATAAAAGCCAAATTTGTTCGAAATTTCTGTTCATTGAACTGAGTATTTTATAATCTAAATCACGCTTATGCATTAAAAGTACATGAGCATCATTTTCATGTGTTTGATCACATGTATATTCACTAAAAAGAAAACAAAATCGTTTATTTGCTTTGTTCTTTTTTTTTTGTATTTACCAATTTTTATATGGACATGTTTTACCAAAAATTTGTTCATTTGTATGTGAACAAAATCGTGGTTGTCCAAAAACCTTTGTAAATTCAAGAATTAAATAAGAATTCGATGTACTTTGATCTTTTATTAATGGTAATACAATTTTTTGCTTTTTATTTACTGCATCCTTATCATCAATAAATTTAAGTTGATCCTTCTTTAAAAAATAATAATTTATATTAATACTGTTGTTATTATCTAATATATCAATTGGATAGATAACATTTCTCTTGAATTGTTCAATTTGTTGTTCTTGAATAGTATTTGCTAAAAAAGTAGTTGTTAAATTTACTTGAGCAAATATAAGAAAACTTAATATGAAAATAAATCCGATCAAAGGCCATTTAAAATGATATAAATAATGACGATAAGTAAGATTAGATGTGTTCTTTAAATGAATACGTTTCTCCATTTTTACAAATGAAGATATTTTATATTGTTTGTCACGTGCAAAAAGAAGTATTTCAATTATTATGTTCGTATTGGAATGAAAACTTTCTTATTCTAAGAAGTAAAATAAAACAAATTGGTATGCATCACAAGTATAAGATTATCTTATTCACATAAATACAGTCCTTCGTATAGTTGATTTTTATCTTCCCCAGCAGTATCAGAAAGCAATAAAAGATTCTTACCCATATGCTGTGTCTTATTAAGATACTACAAGAAAATAAGGACTGAATAAGAAAAGAAAAAAAAATTTGAGAGACACAGTCAAGAGCACTGTCATATTATATTACTGTAGATTCTTTTGCTCTACCAATTTCTTCATTTATTATTTGACACACTCGTTTACCTCGACAAATCAAATTAAGGAAAGGCGTATAAGTTGATCTCAGTAAAAAGAGTCATGTTAGAAACTCTTGTAAAAATTGAAAAAAATGAGCTTCTGCTAGTGATTATTACGAGTCAAAACGTAGAAACGTTTGTGGTACTCGGAATGTGATGATGGTTAAATAAGAGAAACGTAGTTAGAACTATATTTAATTTAAAAAAATTAAAGATTCAAACTTGACATTTTAGGATAAAGACAAACAAGTTTTAATTATTGAAATGAATAAATGTTTGCAATTAAAACTTTGTTAAATAAAATCTTTTGTTCTTTTCAATAGAGAAGTATTTAGGTAAGAAAAATCATTTACCTTCTAAAATTATTCTCTATAAAAATTTAATTCTTATTGGAAAACAACAGCTGCACAATTTTACATGATGATAATCGTACTATCTCTTACCTTAATACGGCAAAAAATACATATTTAGTTGTATAATGGACAACTTATGGATAAAACAATAAAGAGAAAATAGAAAAAAAAGATAATGAGCACTTAAATAAACATGTTGTATCATAGCTAATGGATTTCTTCTCCATTGCATGGCATTCATGTATTTTTTTATATTGTCTGTCATATGAATTTATATGAAATATTCTAAAGAATCTTTGAAACAATGTTCGTTATGTATTCTTTGCATGTAAAAGAAACAAGAGAAGAATAGAAGTACATATCACTAATAAATGGAATAAATAAAGGGAAATAGGCCACCAACCAGTGTTCTACGAATTTTACTTTTGTTAATCTTGTCGCATAGGATAATTATGGTTATTTTTCTTTTCTTTCCTTCACACTAAGCTATTCACCATCACAATAATAAACGTAACGTCATTCTTTTTGGTGTTTATGCCATAATCGACGCGCTATTTTGATGCAGTCATCCTGCTTATTTGATCATATACTTTTTTTTCCCTCTCATTTCTCCTCTGAAAAGTGCTAAATCATTTCACATCGAATAAATATGGTTCTTGCTTATTTTTTTGTTCTCGTCATTATTCTATTATATAATAGAGAAAGTAGTTCCTTATCAGCATTTTTTTAAATAACAATATTTATTTCATTCGATCAATCAAATTATGATACGAGAAAAAAAACATGTTTATTTAAATATAAAAAAGTTGATTCTTTCGAATGAAAATGAAAGAACTATGAAAACGAAAAAAATATATCATTATTAATGAATTGTAACATGAGAGTTAAACAAAAACAAAAACAAAAACAATTCCACCAAGATTTCCTGATCCAAGAAACAAAAAATAAATAAAATTATATATAATTAAAAATAAAACATATATAAATAAATAACTTAATTGCTTGTATCACTGCAATATTTATCAGTTGAAATCACTGTTTGTTGTTTAGATGTCTTTATTTTATAATTATTATCTTCTAATGTTATTATATCATAATTTTGTGTATCACTTAGTTTATTATAAGCATTAGAATTTACACCTGCAGATCGTGTTCGATTAAGTAAATTTAAAACACGTGTACGTTCAAATAAACCAATAAAATTATGTATATATTCTTTACTTCGATCTTCCCAACGTTCCATAAATGTTTTTGATTCTTCTTCATATGTACGAAACTTTGATTTAACTGTATCAATTCGTGATTGAAATTCAAGTTGATTTTTTTTAATAAAACCAACATTTAAATCTTCAGCTGAATAACCACGTGCTAAATTTCGTCGTACATACATATCATAATCACGAACAAGGCGACATATTATATCAGATGTCGAAACACCTTCAGTACGTTGAGTAGCAGCAAACATACCACGAGTCTAAGACAAAAACAAATATGTCAATAATAATTACTCCTTCATATCATCTTGAAACTACACTGTTTTTTTTTTTTTAATTTTCTCCTTAACGAAGATTTCTAGTGGGAGTATTTTTCTTAGAAGTCATTTCGCATAGGATATATTACAACCTTGAATGATCAAATACAATCTCAAATGTCACGATATGATTGTTTGTAATTGTCAATTATAGAAAACGATAACATGTATTATTCTTTTTAGCTATTTATAAGAGTTGTAATGATTGTTCTGAATTTATTTACAAATCTCTGGAGAGCAAGAAAATGTCCACAATGATAAGAATAAGTTTATCATCTTCAGAGAGTAATTATTATTTTATTAGGTGTTCGATCAATGTCAAACTATCTGGAATATAAACATTTTTCAAAGCGTGAATATTTCAACAAAAAAGAACTATTCATTTGTAAACAAGTACTAGAGTAACAATAAAGTAATAATCTCAATATTAAAAAATTCTTATCTTTATCTTCTCTAATCTATTTACGACTAATTCTAGACAAATCTTTAATTAAAATAAAGAAAAAAGTAATAATAATCTGGAGTGATTCTTTATTAGGTTTCTATGTAAACACAATACAACACGATTTTTGCCTTTGACAAATCTTCATAGAATAATCTGGTTCAAGAAACATGGAACTAAATCTATTAAGTAATAGAAAATTTGACTTTGAAAAGTAATTAGAAAAACTTTCATTTATCAATAGTGAAGGTTTTGTTATAAGGGACATCGTATCAATTAAGGTAATCTTCTCGATTTCTACGAAAAAAAAAAAGACTCGTAAAGTGAGTTCAGCTATTTATTGAGATTCTTAATTCTAATATGACTTCGTAAAGAACAATCCTACCTTTAATTGTATTCAAAAAATCGGTAATAAAGTGTATGCAGTAAAGAAGACTAAAGCAATAAAAAAAAAACGTCAATTTTCTTCATTCAAAGTTAATTTTTCTATCTCCAAAAAGTCAGCTCATAACTCCTAAGTTAAAAAAGTCTTACAAAAAAAAAAAAAAAAATTTGAATCCATATTTGGAAAGAAAACAAAATTTTAATTCTAATCCATTATCTGTAAACTTTCATAGACTCTTTAAAAAGACTAAAAAAAAGACGGAATGAATATTTTATCTAATTACTTTTCGATCATCTTGTTAGTATAGAGACTTTTGTTATAGCTGTTTATTCTAAATATCGGATAAAACTGCTCTTCTACAACTTACTTTAAGATGTTGATAAATATCATCACTACCTTCAGTTCCATAGGGAATTTCATCATGTGCAACAAAATCAATTTTATTTTGTGTTAAAAATTCATCATCAAGTATCCATGGTGCATCTGTTATAACTTCATCAACATAACGACAATGACGAACACTTTCATAGCGTTCAGCTTCATTCATTATAGTTTTACCTTTTCTACTATGTGTTAATTGATCATTACAAACACCAACAAGTAAATAAACATTTTTAAATAAATTTTTTGCTTGCATTAACTGTCGAGCATGACCAGCATGAAATAAATCATAAATACCTAAATTTTAAAACTAAATTTAATAAGAAAACAAAAAAAGACATTGCAAATTCTGATTGTTTTTACCATCAGCATAAATACGAATTTTTCTTGATGCGATATCATTTTTAGCCATATCTAATGTAATTTTTATTGAATAATCACAATTTTCACGTTCTGTTATAGCTTTTTCTTCATAACATAAAGGTGCTGGACCTAAATTAAGATCAACATTAACAGAAATTGTTCCACTAAATTGCATTGAAGGTTTAGTAATTGTTTCATTGTCAGATTTATTTTTTGATTCTAATAATTTATCTTCATATGACAAGTGTTCATAATTATTTTCTTTTAATAATGAATTATCCGTATTAGTACCATTTTCAATTGATGCATCATGCGATTCATTAGTACATGTAATGCCATCAGGTGTACTTAATGTCGACTTTTCACTCATTTAGTCTGCAATGTTACGCTTGAATATTTAAAATACAATCTAAAATATAAAACATTGTAATGTTTACTCTCAAATCATCAAAGTCTAAAAGTTTTTTTCTTTGAAATTAAATCAAAAAGAAAAGAAAACTTTTTCAATATTTAATTGGACTCATTGTATTGTTTTGCTCGTAGTTGTGAATTAAGAATGCCTTCGAGTATTTTATAAAACTAACTAAGATACAATTAATGAGATCTTTAAGTTGACAGAACAAAAAATGAAGAATAAGGCAAGCTGCTGAATCGCTAATCCAGTTAATAACGAATCTATTTAGACGTATTTTCTGTATACGTAATAGAATATTTAGATTCTACAATGTAATAAAAAAGTGAATCATGCATTTGGCATATGATCTTGAAACGAAAAAGAGATAAACTATAAACCAGAAACAAAATATTATTATAGATATTAGCTGATAGATGACGCTAGTAAATGTTAGATTAATTATACAGTAGATTATTAGATGTTGGTTGACTGATTATTTTTATTATATGAAAATTTTAATGACAAGAAGATTATATGTAAATCGCTGTCTATACAAAAAGAATGGTCATAGAAATGTCTCTCTAACTTGTCAACATTCATTGTTAATGATGACTCATTCAAGTTACCTTTTGTTCTGCTTCTTTCTTTCCTTTCTTCGGAAAGGAAAAGAATAGGAGGGAGTTTAATACAGTTTCGATTGAATGCTGATCTATCCGTAGAGGCTTATTCATTCATTCATCCTTTAGTTCAATATGACACTTCCGTTCGTTGATCAGCATGTGCACATAAAAACATGAACGTGATATATATATATATGCATGCATACATAATAATGTGTATCATTGACTAATCAGTGAACATTTGCTTGTGTGCAACAAAGAGTCACAAGTATTTTTAAACCAGTTATTCTTCTTATCCATCCAATTTTCTAGATTTTTTTTTTGTGAAATTCAACATTTACAAAATGCCAATAGCAAACAACAACCACAATTCTTCACCACCTAAAACAGATGTAAGATTTGTTTGAATTTCCGAAATCAAGAAAAAGTCATCAGTGACTAATAGATGGTGCAAAAACTCGACATTAATTGTATTTTCAGTATAGCAATGACAGAAAATCGTTGTGGAGACGCGTGAAAAGTTTGCAGAACATGGTCAGCAGGGAAAAATGCTTTGAAATTTCACACAAAATTAGTGATGAGATGTTTTTTTGATTGATTTGTCTCGTACTTAGCGTTCAAAATTTTTAGATATGTTTTTTGTTTGAGTGTTATTAACACGATGAACACTTTCGAGTGGTATAAAAATATTCGTGTTACAAAACCATTGGTTCCAGAGGAAACAGTTTTATTCAAAATTTGATTTTTTTCCTCTATAATCCTCAAGCAAATTATTTCTTCTAATGTCTAATAGAAAAAACTTTATTCTATTTTATATAATGTGCTTTGATAGAGAACTTACTAAGCTCTAGTTGCAGATAAAATATGGGGTATGGTTAACTTCGATTGTTGGAAAAATCTTATTTTTCGAAATCACTTATTAGTTATGAATACTTTTCGCTAGTAAACGATGTTAGAAAAATGTCGATTTCGAATTCAATCGATAGCTTGAAAATTTTATTTTTACCTCTTTACAATGTCCTATCGTAGTGCTACACAACCTGATAAAAGACCTAGACTAAAACCTTATTCCTTAGTGAATGTAAGTGTTCTTCTAAATGCCAGAACCGTACAGAGCATTTTTCCAGTCAAACATATTCGTAAAACTTTTCAGTGTCAAGTAAGTAATTTGAATCAAAAATTTTTCTACAGCTTTGTAATCATGACTTTGCTATTTCTAACAACAAAAACTATTGAATCTTCACTACTATGTATTTTCATGCTATACTAAAAGGAAAATTAATGCAGAAGTTTTGCACAATTCGTTACTTACTTGAAGGGCACTTTTATACGGGTCGAAGCATGTTTATATATCATCCATTCTTCGAAAAAAAAAGCCAGCAATCTGGTGCCAATAACCATTTGAAGAGCATCAAGTTTAATTGATGTTATTTTTCTTCAATCCTATTCATTTTTTCCTTTCAAGATATCATAAATATTCCTCAGCAGAACGAAAAATAGCAAAACCAAGAAAAAAAAAAGAGAAAGCAAAATTGATGTGAACGTTCTAAGCAAAACATCGAGAAAACAGGAAAAGAAAAAAAGGAATATGCTTCGTTGAGATGTCGACGGTAGCAGAAATGTAGCATCAATCGTCTAGATCCTTCAACTTAGTCAAGGACAGAAACAAAAAAATAAACTAGAACATGTCATCATCATTATCAGACATAGAAGAACAAACAAGTTCATCGAATGCTTGTTTTCATTTTATTCCTTCAAAAAATGATCATGAACAATTACAATGTAATGCAAATCCTGAATCAAGCTTTTATTGTATTAAAAATGCACAACAATCTTCTTTTATTCCTTCGACGTCATCAATATTAAGAGCAGGAAGTGTAAATAGCATTTTTACTATAGTTCCATGAATGTCATGAGATATGACTAGTAACTTAAAAGTAAGGAGCCAGCTGATGACATGATCTTATGATTGTATTTTCGTACTCATCTGTTCTTTTAACCGAAAAAAAAACAATAATAAGAGCCTACGATGACTATTGTCACAAGCTTTTTATTTTATTCAATAGTCCAAATTCTTCTCTCTGAAATATATTATAACTAGTTCTGTATCAGCAAAAGAAAACGAAACATTTATTAAAAATAGACTTAAATTTGTTTTTTCTCCGATTAAGAATAGTACAATCTTTTAATGCGAAAAAACAAACAAAACATATAATTGAAATCTTAATTTACAATAACATCATCATTTCATTTCGTTTTTTTGTTTAGTCTTTACAACATCGTTTATTAATCAAAGGTGGTCGAGTAATTAATGATGATGGAAACATGCTTGCTGATGTTTTTATCGAAGAAGGTATTATCAAGTAAGTTATAGTCAAAAGTATTCTGTTATAAAAAAAATCAACTTTGATTTTTATATAGACAAATTGGACTTAATCTTATTGTACCTGCTGGAACAAAAACAATCGATGCTACAGGCAAATATGTTATGCCAGGTATTTATTTATTTATTATTTTTATTTTTACATATATAAATTATTTTCAGGTGGTATTGATACACAAACTCATCTAGAATTGCAATTTATGGGTACAAGAACAGTTGATGATTTTTATACGGGTACCAAAGCAGCAATTGCCGGTGGCACAACAACCATTCGTATGTATAAGAGAAGGAAAAGCAAAACATAACAGTCAAAATGTTTTAAGTTAATATCATATTGCACCAGTTGTTGGTAATTCACCTAATTCAAGTGTTGGATTTTCATAGACAAAAGATTCTAATAGTGTTGATTTTCGTTCTCCTTTGTTATTTGATAGAGAAATCAATGGATTTTCAATGACTAATGTTGTTGGTTCTTGTTGTCGTTGTTGTTTTTCAAGTATTGCCAAACGATGTGGTGATGCTATTAGTGTCATATTATTATGATAATTATCACTAATAAATGATATTGTTGAATTTGGTCGAAGATGTCTAGCAATATGTTGATTAATAATTACTGAATGCAGATAATCTTGATGTTCTTGTTCTTGTTGTTGCTGTTGTTGTTTAGATAGTTGAGAACTTGACGTTAATTGACTACGAAAATATCGTTTACAACAACAATAAGTTGTTAGTATTGAACCAAGTAATAATCCTGTACCAGCAGTAACACCGATGATGACGAAAATGATATCGGTCATAGCATATCTAGGAAATAAAAGTTTGAACTAAGTATAATATGTTTTTTTCTTTATTAGTTCAATTGTATGATGTGTGACAAAAAAAGACTTGATTTTTTTTCTTTGACGGCTGGCAGCGAAATGGTCAAATCAATGTGTTCAATATACATTTTTTCTTCTTCCTCTTTTTTTATGTTCTCTCTTGCTCACCTGACCTGTTGAACTAACTTCCTATGTCCGATGTAAGATGACGAATGGGAAAGGTAGAATAGTTATGATGACAATAGAGAGAATGAATCTGTTTTCATACAATATATATATATATATGTTGCATATGATTGAAACTACATCGTCGTCGATCATTTTGATGATGATGTCATGAAATAAGGCGACAGCTGATACAAGATACGCATCTTTTACTATACATATATATATACGTGCGCTATAGTGAGTGACCGTACAAACGGTAAAAAAAAAAAAAAAAAAAGAAAACGAGAGAATAAAAAATCCAAGCACGCTACCCTTGAACCTATCACTACAATTTTTTTTATTCATAATATACATACATGTGTATGCCATTTTTAGTTTTTTCATTCGTTTCTTGCATATTGATTAGATTTGTTACGTATGATACAGTCATTTTCTTTGTTGGTCTCAACCCAAACAAAGTGATTAACTGTCTATCATTCTTTCATATTTCAATTTTGTTTCTTTGCGTTCATTCGATCACTACTGTCGTTTATTAATTTGTTCGCAATCTAAAATGAGAAAGAAGAAAAAGAAAAAAAAAAAAAGAAACGTGAAAGAATCAGATTGCATCACTTCTTCTTTTTTCCTTTTTTTACATAGCATGATGGTTGTTGTGATGTAATAGAAAAGACATTTAGATCGGCCTAGAAATCTAATCAATAATTTTTATATGATGAAAAATCGAATATAAATATTATGATCATTATTTTTGATATACAAAATTTTGTTTGATAGCTATCAACTGAATTATGTGATTACATATAAAAGAAAATGTTGTTTTTTTATCGTTTTGTTTTCTTTTTTTTTTCAATAGTTGATCTTGTTATTCCAACAAAAGAACAAACACTTGTTGAAGCTTACAAACAGTGGCGTGAACGAGCTGATTCAAAAGTTTGTTGTGATTATGGTTTACACGTTGCTATTACACATTGGAATGAACAAGTCGCAAAAGATATGGAAATACTTACGAAAGAAAAAGGTTCTACAAGAGATATATATCTCATCACGAAATATTCTAAATGAGATGTATACCCAGCAAGAAAATGATCACTAATGCAAGAAACTTTGAATAAAATTTTACTTGATTTAAGTGAAATGATAGAGGCGATAAAATATTGTTCGGATCTATGCTCTGCTTTATAGACTTTGTGTTTACAAAAGAAAAACAAAACAATCAAGGCCGTAGCTTATGGGAGGTGTGGGAGGGGTGTGTCGGACATGACGCGCGCCACCTACTTTCGAAAATTTCCTACACGGTGCCCTTTTTTTGAGACTCAAACACATTGCGCCCTCTACCTTGCCTTCGGTGCTAGAAGGAAGAACATCCCTATCTTTCAACTACATGGAGGCCAATTCACTAGCCTGATATTTTCTCTAGACAGAAGGCTAACCTGATGCAGGATTCTTACGCTTAATTTCTTGAGCTCCTCATACACATTAATTAACCACACCACTAGTCACAAGAGCAGATGTATGCCATAACGTAGTCAGTATGCTATGGGACGAGTGATTCGAGTCAAATAGTCGTTAGCAACTTGTTCAGAGTCATTCCATAACTGGTGATACTGAGATTTGCACACATTACCTTGTGGATATGTGTCAAAGAGCAAAGCCACTCAGCCGTAAAGGCCTAGTGCTGAGTTACGCTTCTGAAAACAAGAAAGCATTGTAACGAGCTCGATTAAAACTCGCTTTATCTACAATTGTTCTTTACTATCATCCTAACGTACTGGTGTATACATCTTCTTAGAATATGCGGTATATACTGATTTGTAAATTAATGTTTTGTTTAGGTGTTAATTCGTTCAAAATTTTCATGGCTTATTCAGATACTTTTATGTTACATGATGATGAAATATTTCAAATATTTTCAAAATGTCGTGAGCTTGGTGCTATTGCTATGGTACATGCTGAAAATGGTTTAGTAATTAAAGAATTAGAAAAAGAAATATTAAAACTAGGCATAACAGGACCCGAAGGTCATCTTCTTAGTCGTCCAGAAAAGGCAAGAGATCATAATAATAAATACTAGTCTTTGTATGATCAATAAATTAACTATTTTAGCTTGAAGCTGAAGCTACAAATCGAGCTATTATTATTGCTGAACAAACTCGGTAGAATTTCATTAAAACTAAGATAACTATGGCTTCTAATTTTATTTTATAGATGTCCTCTTTATGTTGTACATGTAATGAGTAAAACAGCAGCTGATAAAGTACAAGAAGCACGATTAAAAGGTAGAATACATTTTAGTATTTTATATAAGTACATATAAAATTAATGATGTTTTCTTTTTACTTGAACAGGTCAAGTTGTATTCGGTGAATCTAATGTAGCAAGTTTAGGTACTGATGGATCACAATATTTTAATAAATGTTGGCGTCATGCAGCTGCTCATGTTACGTCACCACCTCTTCGTACTGACCCATCAACAGGACCTTATCTTGTAGATCTTTTAGCTAAGTATGTATTTTAAATTATTCGTCAAGACAAGAAAACCTACTGTTAATTCTTTTAGTGGTTCATTATCAACAACTGCTACTGATCATTGTACGTTTAATGCCAATCAAAAAGCTTTAGGCAAAGATGATTTTCGAAAAGTAAAAAATTTTTAATTTTTTCTTCTATTTTATATTAATAAAAAGAAGAAAACCTTATTTTTTTAGATTCCAAATGGTATTAATGGTATTGAAGATCGTTTATCAGTTATTTGGACTAAAGGTGTTGAAACAGGCCAACTTGATATAAATCAATTTGTTGCTGTAACAAGTTCTAATGCTGCACGTATTTTTAATATGTATCCAAAAAAAGGTCGTATCGCAGTTGGTTCCGATGGTGATTGTTTAATATGGGATCCACAAGCAACAAAAACAATATCTATTTCGACACATCATCAAGCATGTGATTTTAATATATTCGAAGGTTTTCAATGTCGTGGTTTACCTATAATAACAATTGTTGCTGGTAAAATTGTTTATGAAAATGGACAAGTTTGTATTTTATTATTTTTTTAATTTTCTCATTGTTATTTTATTTCTTATAAATATAATATAGTTAAATGCTATACAAGGTTCAGGCAAATATATTGAAACAACATGTTTTACTGATTATGTTTATCAAAAATTAAATAAACGGGAACAACTTCGTGAACAAGTTAAATTATTAATAATAAATCAATTTTTTTTAATTTAAAACTATTACTTTTATTTAGCTTTTCAAACAACAAAAAATTGAACGTGAACCATATACAGGTGAAGTAATTGATGTAAACAAATCAGTTGCAAATGGTGATTCGAAAACAAGTCCAAAACATCAAATAATTCATAGTAATCATGAATTACCAGCTGCTGGCTTTCATAATCGTCCAGCAACACGTGCTGGTTAGTATGAATTAATAAAATTTCTTTCCATATATTTAACTGAATATTTTTAGGAGCAAGAAATCTATTTGATTCAAGTTTTATGTTGTCAGGTAATTATTTTATTTGAAATAAAGATTAACTTTAATAGATAAATATTTCTAGGTGAACAATGGGATGATGGAAATCTTCGAAAAACAACACGTGTTCAACAACCACCTGGCGGACAATCAAAAGGTAAACTAATGAAATTCCTTCATTTTGTTTCTTCTTTCTTGAACTTTTACTTGTGCTATTTAGGATTATGGTGAGAACAATGAAGTTTTACAATATGTTTACCATTGATAATTTTTTTTCCACTATGTCCTGCATGTTCTTGCATGTATATCTTATAGACCATTATTTTACACAAAAAAAAAAGATGACTGACTGCATGCATATACAATCTCAAAAAATATTTCTTTTTGTTTACTTACATATTTATTATAGGGATGTCGAACCGAATGGTTCTTCTTAATCGGACTTATTTAAACAAGACATTTTTCCTATAACTAACAGTATTTTACCAACATTTTCTTTATCTCAATGATGTATTTCTATTGTATAAAAAAGAACGAACTTTTTCTTATGTTTATTTTGCGTTAAAACACCTGTTTCTTTTTCTTTATTCCATTAGCTTGCGCTTTTCTCTCTCTATCTCTCTTACATTGGTATTATAAAACTCGTATTAAATAAAAGCGTGTTTTCTTCATGACTAAATATTTGATCTACTATTGTTCTTGTATGAAACCATAATAAAAACCAAAAAAAGAATCATTTATTGATTTATTTTTTCTCAATATAATTTTTAATTATTCTTCAAAGAAGTAAGAAGGATTATGATAATATCAAAACTCGAACATTTTATTCGTTGAATATAAAAAAGAAGAAGGTCGATAATAAGCTTCTTAAGAGAATTATAGTAAGAAAGAAAAAAAGTATGACAGCTATTGGGAGACAGAAATGGTTATCAATGTCATATTTTTCTCTTATAGTATCTTTCTATAACAGAAAAAAAATTGTTACATCAGCTTTCTTATAATTCCACCTAACCTGTGATAAACAATGGTTTATTGATAGAACTAAACGAATCGCTTATTAATATGTCAAGTAGAAGAGTATTAATAATTACTTACTATAGAAATACTAACCAAAAAGATCTATGAAAGAGTGTCATGAATGAAATATATAGAAAGCATGTTCGCCTTAGAGAACTTATATTTAACAAAAGATAAAAATATTTATGCTGTATATTTTAAGAAAGATGTCACAATATTATATAGAGCGAAAATGATATTCGCGATCAATCGCAGGTCATTAAGATACCTATGGGTATTTATTTTTCTATTTCTTTATGTCACAGGAGACATTCTATATTTGTTACAATCTGAAACAGAGCAGAAAATTCTTCGAAATCTGTCATAAGACATTTATCTTAGGCTTTGAATTTTTTTGTTTCATAATCAGATGTTGACGATCAATAAAATCTTTTTATATATGATCTTTTCAAATCGACAGCGTTATATATTTTTTTTTGAAAATGATTAATTGGAGTCAAACAAAAAGATATTTAACGCGCACAGCACATTGAATGACTTGTGTTTTTTTTTTAAATAGAACTCTACAGAAATTCGAAAAAACAAAAAAATAAGCGAAAAAATGTATGCTTAAATGTTTCATATATGATCTCGGCCATTTCTTTTTATTTTTCATGACATGTTTTGTGGTGCAGCTTCTTCGTCATTGTTTGATGCGGTACGCTGTGCTAAGTATTGTTCAATAACTAAATAATGATATAGAAATATTTAATTCTAATTAAAATCATATTTATTACCTTCGTTGTCGACTGGATATCGAGGATAATCATATTTACTAAGACGAGCTTGATGAAAGAGTTCTCGAAGAAGATGATTGTAATGTTCATCACTATCACTTTCAGCTCGTTTTCCCCATGCTGATGACATACGTTTTCCCCAAGCCGATGACATACGCTTACCCCAAGCACTGCTCATGCTACGAACAAAAATAAACAAACAATTAAAATTCATGAATTCAAACGGTAACATTAACATTGAAGAAAATCTTGTTTTTTTTTTTATTTGATATTTATTTATTAGACACAACAACTTAACGGGACAAAATTTTTTTACATTTTAGTTGCCAATGTTTATAAATCCATTCGTAATGACATTCACTTCCGTTTGTCAATATCATTTTCATCGGAAAACAAAATTATGAATATATATTTGATCTATATTATTCTGTTTTACAAAGAAAGTCTCGTTAAAAATTGACCTTATTTTGGTTTTTTTTTGTGTTTGACACAGTATGTTATAAGAAAAATTCTCATGTCATAAGGTAAACATTGTCCGCATATAATATCTAAAGTGATTTATGAGCGTTGAGACCAGTCAGGTAAAATGAACAATTGATCACGTCATCTAGAGTATTATTTCTCGTGTTTTTGAACTTAAGACAAATATATCTTCTTCTCTTTAACTTTAACAAAGCAAAAAAAAGTTGATTCGATTATATAGTAATTTAGCATGCAACAGGAGGATTCGATAAATCTATATGCCAATTCGAATTAAAGTACGAATTGAAACATAGACAGACAACGAACAAAGGAAGGCTATCATGTCATTAAACGGAAATACTGTGGGACAATAGATAAAACGGAACTTTGGCGCACACGTAGGTAGTCTCTATATTTTTTAGTATAGACTCACCGTTTAAGATTGTTATTGTCCAAAAAACTCTGCGTGAGTGTAGCTTGACTAAAGATTGTTTGTACCAAAATCATCAAGACAGCAAATATAAAGACGTATAGCTTCATGTTGTTGATTGACAATGAAGAAGAAGAAGAAGAAAAAACTGATGAAGATGATGAAATAAGGAGTAAAGATGAATCTAAAATGAGTTGTCATCAAAATATCGATAGCTATGCATATAAATATAAACAATAGTTTAAAGATAAAAATAAAAAACCTCAATCTTTTTCTCGTTTAATTGAGATTAGACAATATTATTTTACTACCAAAATGTGCTTGGAATTTTACGATAGAAAATTTTCATTTAAATCTTATGAAACAATGTGTCAGAAATACATGACACCACAAAGAGTATATGTCGTTGTGCGTGTATAAGAGGTGAATGAATGGCATTAACGAAAGCTAAAGAAAAAGAAAAAAAAGAGATAGAGAGAGACTAGAGATTTTCTCAGTTTCTCTCTCTGTCTTTTATTCTTTCTTCCTACCAATCTCCGCCTTAGTAAAAAGCTTTTTTCCGCTGATCGGTATGTGGCAATTACGATTATTTGCAATTCTATTCACAGCACAGATAAAATATTTACGAAAAAAAAGCCTGATTTATTTGATATTTTTATTGTCTTATTTAAAGTCTACTTTGACGACAAAACAAACGAATATATATCGTTCATACAAGAAATAATTTGCACACAATATATCTAATCTTTGTTTTGATAAAAAAAGAAAGAAAAGTAAATGAATTCTCATTCAATTGTAAGAACGTAATACGAACAAATATTAAGACAATAGCTAAAAAAGATAATCATTAATTTTAATATCAATTCTTGGATAAATGTTTTTGCTAAAGAGTTTGTAAATCTATCGTGCATTTGTATTCTATAGGCTTTATGTGATGTAAATTAAATCTGCTAGCAAAAGAAATCTTATTATCGTGAATCATAATCATATTAACAAAAAATAATAGATTAAATAAGTGTTCAAAATTTAGGTTGATCTTTTTATGTTTTTGTTAGACATGATCAAAAAACATTATTAGTTTAATGAAATGCATTTAACAACAAATGTTTTTGTCGCCCAACTGCGTACTATGGATATCAGTTATACTAATGTCTTAACCTTACGTGTATTCTAGAGCTATATATAGTAAAGCGAAAACTAATTGCTGCTAAACCAGAATTTGCTAGATTTATGACTAATTGTCTTCTATTTGGTTAAGATAAAAACAGAAATATTTCTTCAAACTACTTTCTTGAGTACGAGAAAATTTGTTGACAGATACGCTTTTTAATGAGTCAATCTAAATCAAAATAAGTGAAATATTATCAGTAAGATAATGTCAACTAGAATACGGATATTAGTGTATTCATTGATTCAAACCGAATATATTCTAATGTGGAAAGAGAAATCAATGAATGTAATTTCAAAGTTAAACTGTAAAAATATTCTCTCTAATCTTAATATTAATTTTAGAATCGAACAAAACCAAATTTACATTCGAAATGTTTGGATTTGCTTTTGGATACGGCTAAAATTTGCATAATCCTACTTTCACTTAGCTACAGTTTGATCTTATGCGTCGATTATGATCATTAGCTCTATTCAAACGACTACGCACTAATATTATACAATTATTTCAAAATTTTATTATCATTAGTGTGAAAGACGTGTCACAGTTAATATCAGATGATGTAAGCTTTTGTGTTTTTTTACATGAATAATATAGTGACCTTATTTACCTCAGAAAATGTTTACATATTTAACATCTGGTTTATCTTGCAGCTAAAATCAAACAGAGTTCTCACAAAATACAATTCTATATTATTACTTAATAGAAAAGTTTTCTTCGATTATGATCATGGATTTGATGTGATAATGATATTTACATTTTCTATTTATTCACCATACGAAATTAATATTTATTCCATATGTTAGTTAAAGTCAGTTATGCATATATATGTACAACACAATATGACATTCTCGTCTTTTATTTTTCTATCAACAAGTCAATATACACCCACTCATACTTATTTCTTTAATGAACAAAAAAACAAAATACTTATTTTTGATCTTGATCCTTATTTCAGATAGATCATGCGTTGTTAATATTCTAATTATTTCATGATTGAAAGAATTTTAACGACTTTCTTTTGTTGATCTAACTATTGTGCTTGAATGCATCCATGCATATTTCCTTAACGAATCAGTCATGAAATAGTTAATACAGATGCTTTTTCTGTATTTCCGATCAAGCGCCACTTCTGTTTGTTTTGATTTTTTTCTTTTTTTTTTTTTTTTTATATATGCATAGAAAAATCTCACCCGCCTATAGTTTTATTCCTACGTCATTATCTTTGAATATTTTCATTTTGTCATATAATATTTTTTTTTCTTAAATTTTCAATCGAATCCAAAAAAAAAAAATATGATGCCCATATCCAGTGCCAATAGTAACAATAATAATTCCCAAGCAACAATTGTTTATGTTTCCTATGAAGGATGTTGCTATGAAGTACGAATACGTAGTGATAATGATGCACGTATACTTGATATACTCTATGGTTTACAACGTGCATTATGTATTCCACAATATGAAATGATGCTATGTTTTGGTCAACAACGTATTGATTGTCATCAATTTTGTTCACTTCGTTCACTTGGTATACCTGAAGGTTCAACACTTTATTTATATCGATGTTCATAATGGAAGAAATTAGCAATATGTGTTTCTTTTTTCTTTTGTGTTAACTTATTTATTTTCCTTTTTATAGTTGTGTTCAAGAAGACAAGAAAAAAAAAATAATAAGGATTTGTTTGAACAAAGAAAAAAAGTAGAAGAAGAACAAAAAAGAAAGTGAAAGAAAGAAAGAGCATACAACAAGCAACAACAACAACAATAAGAATAATAATAATGATAATAATATTGAATCATCTATAGAAAAAAAGAAATGAACAATGATCAAATTTCTACATTTGTAAACGTTAAATGAAATAAAAGAAAAAGATCATCATCATAATCATTCACATTTGTTTTTCTTTTGTTTTTCAATAGAAGACACACATACACATACATAGACAAACACAATTAAGTTAAGAATAAAGGTAAAAAGTCTAACTCTCTATGTACATACAAAAGACATGAAAATGAGAATCCATTTTTTTTTTTTTTATTAAATTTTGTTGCTATTCATGCTTATTGTTGATGATTTTTCTAAATTGCTTGTATTACTTGTTTGTTGTTGAGCTTTTGAAATGTAAACATTTAATAATTTGAGCTTAAAAGAAAACAAATTAAAATTATTTTATATACATAAAAAAAAAAAACAAATTTCATTTGTATTTTCTCTCTTAACAATTAAGTAATTCAAATCAAGCGTAATGATCTCCATTTCATTCATTTTAGCACATAGAATATTATTAATAACGATCGATCAAAGTTGTTTAGATTTCAATATTAACTAATCATTGATAAACCACATCGGATCCGAGTCCGAATATTTTTAAACCCTAAGGGCTCTAATCGTCCGAGATATGTGTTGGGCGTGCTAGTCACCGAATACAACAAACCGGAAAAAAGTATCTCATAGCTTCGGGGCGACTATTCAATCCGATTAGAAAATTTCATTGAGAGTATCAAAATACGATTCGATCGGGTTCGCGTCCGTGTCTAAAAAAAAACAATAAACCAGGGCAAGGCCTGAGACTTTAGAATCGGATACGTTCTTGTCATCGAAATTGAAAAGCATAATTCCATTAATATTCTTTATTGTTAAAATACAAAGTCTTTATTTAATATTTTGAGATTCAAAAGAGAAAGAATTTCTTATTCAAAAAATTCATATAATTTACTTGTAAAGATATTCTTAAATGAGGGCATGATGAAATATCATCATAACAAGTCAAGTAAACGCCATATTAAGAATAAATCAATGAAGAAGACCTTATATCATAAAATTCGTTCTCATAAATCAAAATAGTATCAATCAGAAAAATAATGAATAAAGCGATATATAGAAGTAAGCAGCGATACAAAAAAATAAAATAGTAGATCGCAGTATTATCTTACCAAAACATTTCTTGAAAATCGAGACTATATTAAAATAAATCGTTCGATTATCTCATATTTACTCAATTATAAAACTCTAACAAAACTGATGTTCTCTTTTTTTTTTTTTTTTTGTTTTCTTTTACCTTGCTTGCACTTAATTTATGCAAATGAGTACGAAGACTATCGCCAACAACTAAATAAATTGAAACCAAGCAAAAAACTGCTGCTTTTCGTACACTTGATGTTTCACTATCCCATGACTAAAAATAAAACAAAAAATTATTTATATTCAAAATAAATTTCAAATCAATCTTATAGCATTGATCATATGTATAACACATGCAAAGACAGGAACAACAACAGAGCAATTGTATGAGAAAAAAAAAGAAAATAAAAACCAATTCTTACACTTTCTCCACCGGTGAGATTATGGGAATGAATATCCCATGCCTTAGTATTTTTATTTAAATATTTCATATTATTCATTATTTTAAAATAAACAACAAAAAAAAAAAAACAATTACCGTTAACAATGGTGGAATCATTTCAGGCATTAATTCTGTACATGTATCTTTATTCATTAATTCAATTGTTTTTTGTAACATTGTAATAGCTGATTGATTCATTGGATATTTTGCTTGTTCAATTATTGGTTTAAGTACTCGAACAGTATTGTCAGCTGGTAAATATTCTGCTGCAGCATGAGCTGCTTGTTCAGCTGAACGAGTTATCTTCAAAACAAAAAAATAATTTTGTTCATATTTATCAAAACTCCCCCCAAAAAAAAAAGAAATTATTACTTACGTCACTTTCCGGATCACTTTGAGCTTTTAATATTCGAAATATAGTTAATTCAATATAATTCATAAATAAACTTGTATGATGTGTTAATAATTCACGTATTATACGAAGACTATAAACTTTATATAATGTATCATCTTGTTCATTATCAAGAATTTGTGTTAAAATATTTAATGTTTTACTAAATGCTAAATTCCATGTATCAGAATCATTTAATTTCGAAAATTTTAATATACAACGTAATGCATGTTGACGTTGTTCTTTTCCTAATGTTGTTTGATTTACCATATTAAGTGCTATATCTATTGCAGCTGGACGATCAACAGAATCAAGAATACTCTTCAAAAATTAATAATAAAAAATAAAAACGAATATAAAGATAAAATTACAAAAAAACACAAAGACAGACGTACATCTGACGTTTCAGTAACATTGCTTTGAGATTGATTTGAACGATAAGCTTGAGGTGTATAATGTCGACTTGAATTTGAACGCATATCTAAAAGATTCAAAAATAATTTAAAAAAAAAAAAACAAAATTAAGTTTACCTTGATAACCACTATCTTTTAATGAACTTGAACCTGATAATAATAAATCATCTTGTCGATGATTTATATTTAATGCTTGCATATTTTCCATTAAAACACGCATATCCGATGCATATGATGGAGTTTGAATATCTGAATGAATTGAACTTGTCATTGAAGATGTTAAACCATTACTATTTGATCGTTGAAGAAAATCAAATCTTAACAAATCAAAAACAAAATATATCAAATTAGAATATTTATTGATTAGGTTTTTGTTTTGTTTTACTTATTATCCTGTTGTGTATGTATCGATGATTGCATACTATTAGTTGGTCGAAGAATTTTTGCAGCTGCATCCTAAACAAAAAGAAAAAAAAAAGAATAGTTAATTAAATAAGTTAAACAAAATTCGAGAATAAATTCTATTCTTTTGTAATATTTAACTTACGAAGAGAGTAAAAGTTAAAAAAAATTCTACAATATGAAAATAACGGTTTTTATATCATGTGTTTAATAGTTGTCTTCTCTCTTACAAAAAAATGATCGAGTTAAACCACTAATGATTAAATACTTGTTATATCGAAATACAAGTACTAAAACACGTATAATGATCGTTTCAAACATAATTGATAAAATCTTAATTGATTGCTCAACATATTAATTTTCAATATAATTTTGATATTTATTAAAAATGACAATTTCATTTTCATTAGTGAATAAATTCTATATTGAACAAGATTTCAGTTCAATGAGTCGATTTTTGCTGAAAATGCATCTCACAACTAAACATGTGCAGGACCACAAGAAAACAATTGATTCAATCGGAACTAATAATTACACTTAAATATTCTATAGGTTTAAACGTATTATCTTATAAATCATATCAATCAAAACAGAATTCAAAAGAGATGAGCTAAAAGATATTAGTCGTCGACTAAATAAATCAAAAAAAGAAAGAGGATTGAAGAATTATTCTAGATGTGATACGAATACATTCTGGAATAGCTTTCTCTAGAATTGAAATCTGAACCAAAATAGTTGGTCTCACACATTTATACTATCAACTATAGTCTTGGATATTGTTTTTTTTTTACAGTTCTGAGTGCTGTTAGAATCAATCTTATATAAATACGTGTACACTTTTCCCTCTATCTCTCTATCTAATGCACTCTAAAAATGTCTATTCATAGTTTATCATATGTGTACATATCAAGGACTAAAATAATATCATGAAGTCAGTGAAACGAGATAAGCTCTCGACATTTGAGCCTAATATAAGTAAAGAATTATAGAAATAGAAGAAAATAATTTTATTTCGATAAGTACACATTCACGTCAAAAGCTAAATCAAGCTCTTGTTCATTTGAAGTATAAGTCTCTCTTATTGTTACATGAAAAGTCGAAATTAGTTGTTTTAATTTTTTATTAAGAAGTTCATATTTAACAGATATTTTTAATTTTAGGTGAGAGCGCTCATCTTCTTCTAGTTCACATCCACACCCTGCTGAAGATTGACATCGAGCTATTAAAGTACTGTTAATTTCTTATGTATTTTCTTCAATACAATCGTTTATTCGTCTCTAGTACAAGGAAATTCATCAAGTTTTGAATCTATCAAAGACCCAAAAATGGAACACTACGTGAACTTGATAATAGCTGAACAACGATAAGACGGACATGTGATTTTAACAAAATATGAACTTTTGAATAAACAACCACAATAATTAGTGTCTTCTTTTCATTTGATAACAATAGATTTGTGCTTCACACGAACAAGAGTTTCATTCAATTTTTTTATGTAAATATTAATTTATTCAAATAAAACTAGTTTCTTGTACTTTTTATTCTCTTATCTATATGTTAGGCTCATATGTCGGTGTATCTACAATGGCATTTTTGTATTAAACGAAAAAATAAAATAAAATAAAAGTCATAAAGTTTTATCATAAAACAAATTAGTTGAAAAATACAATATTTTACTTGGTTCTATATAAAATGTATTCGAAAATAGAAAAGAATATTTACATTTCAATTAAAAACTAACTGAACTCAACATATTCAAAAGTTTGATTATAATAAAACTTGATAAGCATGTATATGGATGGTTTCTGCAGCAATGCTTAAAAAAAATCCAACAACATCGAGACTAAACAATATTCTTGAAACACTTTTTTCGATTCAAATGAAAAAAATATATAAACGATACAGAAAATGTTCTCTAATTACTTTAGATTTACTAAAGAAATCTATCTTACAATACAATATATAGTATTTTTCATAGATAACAGAGTTCGTTGAGTGTATTCTGGATTCGATGAATTTTGAATCTGATGGTGTTTACTTAAAAGAGGTTTTACTGTATTAAGAAATTTCATTTATATTTTGCGAGGAAACATCTTTAGACTTGAAAAAGGTTTTCGACCGAAATGATATTTATTTGATGAGTACTAATGAGTAATAGAAAACTCTGCGATAGTTTGCCTTTTTGAATCTTCATTTTTTAGATATGGAAATTTTACTGAATTTTTCAACAAAAAAAAGCTGTGATCCTCCTTAGATCACATAGAAAAATCTACTTTTAACTTCAAACTTTTCACAAAGTTTGTTAATGCAATTAGAACATTAGAAAAGTTGTAACTTTTCTTGTATACTTTATGCTACGAGCTTCAATATTTGAAATTCTCTCATGTGTAAAAGCAAATTTTGTTCATTATATATATTTACATCGTCAGAAAGGAAATACTAATTGCAAAATCAACTAATACCATTAACAAATTTGTTCATGTAAAGTTTGAAATCAAAAGTCGATTTGTTGAAGTTTTTCCAAGGAGATCATAGCTTTTTGTTGCGAAATCTCAGTAAAATTTCTATATTGCAAGACTATCAACTATTAAATGAACATTATCTCGGTTGAAAAACGATTTAACACTTAGAAAGATTTTGCTTATTCAATTTCAATTTAAACCTATAATCTTCTAATAACGACTTTAATGAAATAAATAAACAAAGATAATCTCATTAACATAAAACATAAATACATACTTGATAAGTAGATGGTAAAGCAGTAAGCATTAAAGTAAATTCTGGTCTATTGAGATTATACAAAGCCAGAACAACACCTTGAGCAGCCTAGAAAAGAACATAAATTTTCTTTTTATATTCTCAAAAAATTTCTATTTAAACCTTTCGCATTTCTAAACTCTTTGGTTCACTTGACCAATTAATAATTTTTGATAAAGCAATTCGAATATCTGCATTATTAGCTATATCAACAGGTTCCATTTGTTGTATAATTTGTTGTAAATATCTTAAAAGTATTTCTTTAGCTTTTATTCCTGGTGCTGATGAATTATCATTAATAAATCGAATAAGTACAGTAAATTGTGCATGAACATCAAATGATGTATTAACAATTGATAAGCATGTTTTTAATTTTTTATAAACTGAATCAAGTAAATCAGGAGCACCCAAACGAATTAATAAACGTGTTAATAATGTATAAAGCCATTCATTTAATTCACGTTTATATGCTGTTATAAATTCAGGTAAAACATCAAGAAATGCTGTAAATACTTGTGAATGTGGATCATAAAAACGTTTTGTTAATAATTCAGTTAAACGTTTTAATTCATGAGTACTGAAAATAAAAATATAGTTTGAAATTTTATTAAAAAACAAAAACACATTAGACAAAATGTTTTTCTTTTTACCTAAATACACGACCTGAACGAATCATATGATATAAACTAGCAAGACTTTCTTTTCGTTCAGTCCATTCATTACTTTGCATTCGACGTAAAACATCAGCTATATCCTAATTAAACAAAATATTATACATTAAATATTAAAAAAACAAAAATCTTTAAATTGTATATATATACTTCAAGTGATCTTTCTGAACATATACTTGATGTTTCTGATGCATCATCACCACTATCAGCACCCCATGCACCATTAACACGACGTACATGTTCACCATAATCACTTCCCGGTGCTCGATATCCATATGGTCCTAAAGAATAAAATTAATTTTCTGTTTCAATAATCAATAAATAAATAAAATTCATCTAATTAACAAAATTCCCATTTAATAGAATCAAACAGACAATATAAGAAGAAAAATATCTACGATGTTAACATTCGAACAACATATATATATATCTATAAAACTTACGGCCAATTCGACGTTTATTTCCACCACCACCTCTAGCAGTCACCGCTGAAAAAATTTATTCTATGTTTTTTTTTTTAAATCTATCCATATTCGTCTTTTTTCTTATGCGTATTTAAATATCAAGAAAAAAGAAATTCTCATATTATAAAACATACGTGTTCGTCCTGGACTTGATTCTCGACTTGATATTCTTGAACCACTACTTGAACCAATTGGTATTCGTGATCGTGTATTTGTTGGTGTACGTAATGCAGATGATAAATAATGTGACGATTTCATTGAATTTGGTGATGCTGAACGACTACCTGGTTGTGATTGAGAAACAACATGTGGAGGACGAGAATTTATTAAAGGTGTTTTTGTATTTATTGTAGTAGCTGCTGATTGAGCAAGAAATCTTGGTCGACCTAAAGTATATTTTGCGTTGTATATTATTCAATTAATTATAAATCCGACGAGAGGGAGGAGTACAGAAGACTTCAACCTAATGGGAAATTTTCGGCTTGTTATTCTTGAATACTAGTGTCATTAGAAATCAATGTATTTGAAAACGGAGAAAAATCGACTTAAATAGTCACCTAGGCCAATTAAAATAGTTAGAACAAAAAAAAAAGAAAATTTTTCAACAGAAAGGATTTCAGAGTGGTGCGAATAGACAAAAAATATTTTCGTCTTCATGCACATATCTTATTACAAGTCAGTCAAAATTAAGTGATGCTCAACAACTAACATGAATTATATTTGCCTACGGGGTCTACTGATCCTTGACGAAAGTTATCATTCGAAAAATTTTGTTTAACTACGACAAATACTTCACTATCGATGGCATATTTAATCGATAAAATGATTGGGTGTATGCGGCTAAGCGACAAAATTGAAGGATTTCATTACAAAAAAAAACGAAATACCCAAGGCAAATCATGACATGATTTGAAGCATGCTATGATAGTGTTACAAAACCATAACATTTTTTAATTTACATGAAACACTCAAGTAGAGCTATTATATTCGCTTTGTCAGAATGTAAACGATTAATTGACGATAAATTCATTTTTCAACAAGAAAATGACTGCTCACATCCAGTTAATCCTTTACAAGCTTAATGTAAATAGCATTTTCCTGCCTTTATTGACTGCAAAAAAAAATTGGCTAATAAACAGTCCAAATCTAAATACCTTACATTTCTAGGTTTGGGACGCTATCAGTCAACAAATGATATAGAACAAAAGTTCAAAACTATTAAACATTGCGACAAAAGATTGAACGAATCGTATAGTTTATATTGAAAAAAGAACTGGCAAACAATATCGATTCTTGGTCCCGTTCTATTTTGGAAAATAAATGAGCGTACATTATGTAGATTTTTGTTTCTTCTATTCTATGATATACTTTATTTTGAAATAAAGTTACTTAGAATTTAGTCTGTCCGTATTGGAAATATTTTCTACCACAATCGTCATATTAAAAGTTATAGCTTAAAGACTTCAATACGGAAGTTCTTGCGATTTTCTTCTCGTATAAATTCTTACCAGCTGTTTGCTGAACTGTCGGTGTTGTTAAACCTAAAATAAGCATAAAAAATTAATATAAAATTTTTCAAGAGAATATCTTACTTGTTAAATTATTTTTCTTTCGTAATGCAAGTTCATTAGCACTAGATGATCGAGCAATAGCACCTGGTGATTGTTGTTTATCTAGAATATTTAAAAGTTATTATTGGAAAACTTAGCATAAAAAAAAACAAACATATTAAGTTACCATGAATAACTGCCCGAGCTTGTCTAGGAGTAATTCTAAAACAAATTCCATTATGTCTGATAGTAAAAAGAAAGAACAAAAAGAAATTCTTACTCTTTAACAGCACTACGTAATCTTGAAGCACCTGTACTGGCTAATGAATGTGTACTTGATGAATTACTCATTTCACCCTATTTTATTTGTATAAATAGACAGAAAAAAACAAAAAAAATTAATTTAAGAAAACAAAAGCAAAAAAGAAAAAAAAGTAGAAAAGAAATATCTGTTTCTTTTTTTTAACTAACCAATAATGTTTTCTTTTTTGATGCATCAAGTGAAGCAAGTAAAGCATCAGCTAACGAAGGAAAATGATCACGAAAAAATCCAAATGCTTTTCTTGAATGTGATCTTGCATCAGGATCAGCATCAGATAAACCTTTTTTTATTACATTATGTATTAATTGTCCATGTTTTTCCAAATAAACAAAATCCCATTGTGAAAGCATAGTAACTAATAATTCATATGTATGTCTAAATAAATTTAAAAAAAAAAGTAGTTCATAAAAGAAAAACTATCTTTTCAAACCTTCGAATCTCTTTAGATTTTGATTCAATTCCAGCTAATATAAGTGAAGTTAATTTACTTGATTGTGTATTACTAACAATAAAACGCAAAGCAACAGCACCACTTGTTGAAATAATTTTAGCACTATTTTGTATTAAACTAAGCATAGCTGGTATAATACCTTCAGCTGTACGTTCAAAACGATTTGTTAAACGTATTGACATATATGCTAATGTAATACAAGCTTCACGAACAATTTGTGAACGTAAATCTTTAACAGTTGCTATTAATGGTAAATCAAGTTGACGAAGATTACGAAAAAATTCTTCATATTGATCACCATTACTAGCTATTATTGAACGTAATCGTTTAAGCTAAAAAACAAATTAAAAAGAAATTTCTAATTTGTCGTTCGTTTTTCTTTTCTTTCTTCTTACAGCTTCAACACGTTTTTCCCAATCATTATTTGTATCAGCTAATATATCTCGAATGCTTAATAATTGATTTTCAATTTCTTTACCCGATGAAAACTAAATTGAATAATATTAAATTAAATATATATGTTTACAAATAAAGCTATTAATTTTTTTACTGGTATAGCATGAGATGAATTGAATGCATCTTCGAATATAGCTTCATCAACTGCACCACTAGCGGCAGCTAAATACAAAAAAAAAAAACAAGACAATGAAAACTATTGTATACTTCTTTTTATCTTTTTCTTCTACTTGATACAATACGAATTGGTTTGCGGTTCATGATCAAATCTTACGTCATCAACGACAGAGAAATGTGTGCATGCACGTAAACTGAATAATGTGACTTAGTGTAACAATAACACACACACACATACAAATACATGTATATATATATATATGTCATAGAATGCAAAAGAATAAGAGAAAGGAGGAAAAATAAAAGGAATGACTGGTGCAGATGTAAACGACAGTACAACAGCAGTTGAGATTGATTAATGATGATATGCGAGAGGTGACACGATACAACAAAGAAAAATAGAATACCTCCTATTGATAATGTAGATAAATATGGACGTGGTATTCCCAATGAAGAACGTGAACGACGATCCGTTGAAGAAGAAGAACAAGGAGATGAAACTGTATCTATATCTGTTTCTATGTCCCCAATTTTTTTTTCTTATTATATATATATATTTTCAATAATTAAAATTTTTTTGTTTATTTATTTACCTGCAGATATTGATGCAGTAACATGTCGTGTCGGAATTCCAACAGCTGGTCTTGATCGAGAAGATGTACCGTTATCAGAATTTAATCGAGATTTAACTCCTGATGATGATGGTGGTTTAGGACGAGCTAAAAATAATTTTTTTTCTTTTTTAATATTATCACAAACAAATAATATATTCCATTAGTAATGAAAAAAAAAAGAAGAAGCAAAGAATAAAAGAACCTTACGAGGTTTAGTAGCCAAAAACATCACATCTCTAATAGGCACCATCTGTAGATGTGATATACTTTGTTTCTCTTCGTTTTTATTCTTATAATTGTATGTAGAAGTTTAAATATCAATGAAAACTATATATATATATATCACCATCCCTTTACTGTTTGTCATTGCCTCGGGTTGTTAAAAATTTTCGAACGTACACACAAGTGTACGAGAAAGAGAAGAAAAAAACGATCAATTGATAAGTTCAAAAAAGCGATTACTCCTTGATATGATTGAAAAAATAAGAGAGAGAGAGAAGGACGAACAAAATTTAAACATTGAATATATCAAGCGAAAGAGGAAGAAATTGAAACAAATACACATATAACAGGTTAATAAATACGTGTAAGTACATGGGTTAGACCTTGTATATGTATAAAATTTGTTTTACCTGGCAACGATTTTCTCGTATGAGTCAATCGTTGAAATCCAACATTAAGTAATGGATGTAACTCATCATTCTCATCTTCATTTAATGATGGTAATTGAAATTGAGTTGATGATGGACCAAGAAATTGTTCCAATAAGGATGGATCCATAATAATTTGAATTTATTTATTCGTAATGTATACTGTTAGAAGAAAGAAAAAGCCCAGTTTCTGCGACGCTCAAGTACGATGGTGTCGGATGGTAAGGTAGTTAGTCGTGTGCACACATATATGTATGGATAAATGTGTACGTGTCCCTCAAACACCCTTTTTTTTTTCTTATGCAGGTTTTTTTCTGTACTCACATATACAGAGTCACGATCAGCTTATCTTCATTTATATCTTACGTTGTGTGATGAACACATATATATACATACACCTTACACCTTCAATGAAGCTGATGAGTGAGTTAATACAATGCAAATATGATCTTCCATTTCGATTAACGGTCAGCAATAGTAAAAGACGTTGACGACAAAAGAGAAGAAAAAAAAATAAAAAAAAAAAATGAACGACCGCAGTCACCCAGGTCACCTCTATTCACACTACTACTCAAATCGATCGAACATCACTTGACGCACATATTACGCGTACTTTTCTCTTTTTCTTTGTCTCATACAACACATAAGGTGTTTGAACGAAGAAAAAAAAACCGACGGAAGGTGTCGACGACGAATTTCTTTTTATACAAAAGGATGAATATAAATATACATATATACACACGTGCAAATGCAGATAAACAATAAACTATAAATGTCTTGCCAGACACACATTTATGGTATCATTTATACATAATCTTATTAAAACTCTTTTTCTTACCGTTGGCTAAAGACGATGAAGTATTACCATCTGTTGAATCAGACGTTTTAGCAATCATGCGACCGCTTGCAACAACGTCATCGAATTTATCGTAAAGTTGTTTTAATCTTAACAATAACAAATAATGTATTTAAATAATACCAAAAAAGAAAAAGAAAAGAAAGAAAAAAAAGTTAAAAGTAAAATAATCATTTACTTGGCTTCTGGTATGTCTCGTTTGGCTATATCACCACGAACTTTTTCACCAACATGACGATAGATTTCTACAAGTGTATCAATTGCTTGTTGACGTACCTAAAGTTAACAAAAACCAAATACATTTATATCAATAATATTCAATAAATTTGATTTGAAAATATTTACAGTGCCGTTTGAATCCGATACAAGTTTACAAATTAATGGAACAAGTTTATTCAATTGAATTGTTGATGCACCAAATCTAAAGTAAAAAAAGAAGTAAAACTATTATGATAAGATTCTCTATTTCCTCATAACAATAATAATATGAACTAAAAGAAAACTTACAAATGGTTTTTTTTTTTTTCATTTATTTCACTTACCTATCATTGATAATCTGTGTTGAATAAGTTCGTCTCATTTCGACTAGACAATATAGTAGCAAAACAACAAAAGTCTAATCCTTTCTCTTCTTTTTTTTTTTTCTTTTGTCTATTGATCACAACCACTATCAACAATAAATGGGAAATCACCTGCTTTTATATAGATTGACTAACAGTCGTCAGTACACATAGACACAATGAGAACGATGACAAACCACAATACACAGAGAAAAGATTTATAATCCTTTTGATGACAATAGCAACACTCGTTTAGAGAAAATGGATAGTGACGATGGCGATGGTGATCGTTAGCGAGAGAGATATGTCATTCTTATCTTGCGTAACATCCTACAACGATCATTATATTGCCTATCTTGTTGCTTCATACATATTACGTTGTATTTCTCGATATCCATATATATATATATAGAATAGAGTGTCATCTTCGTGCTCGAACGAACAAATATTAGTCAAGGTATCCCATAGTTACCATATAATACTTATATTGATTAAAAAAAAAGAGAAAAAAGAACGTAATGCAAAAACAACGTCAACGTCAAAATGGATTATTAATGACAAAAAATTGTTCATTAATGAAACGTATCCATCGTTGCATATTACGAATAATCTTTTTTCCTTGTATTATATGTAGTCTATTAGCTTTATTTATTTGGAAAAAATTATTTATGTGAACAGTTCGATAATAATAATATAATAATAATGAACTTACTCTGTAACTGAAGGATATTTATTTGTAAATGTCTTTGATTGATTTGTTAGCATATTTTTATTCGTTTTGTATTATAATCCATACATTGATCTTTAAATTGTTACTCTGTAATATGTTTGGTATTTATGACGTATAATGCGAGAAAAAAAAAATGAGGGAAAGGGAAAAAACAAAAGAGCGAGAAGAAAAGCACAAAGACTTTTTTTGCTTTGTGTCTATCTTCGATGCGGGTACAATTAGACAGTAGGAATAGACTTTTTTTTTCCTTCTGCTATATGCATATTGATCATTCCGCGTATTGCTACTCACGGTCGTTGACCGTCGGGCAGCTGTTCGTACATTTGTTTCTTCCTCCTTTTCTCTCTTTTTTTTTTTTGCTCATGCTTTCTGTTTTCTTTCTACGATAGCATCATTTTAATTATGGATGGCAGAAGGCCGCAGACATGCATAAGTGTCTATAAGAACAGACGAGAATAAAAAGAAGAGTCAGAGTAACAGTTGATTCTATGGGTGTGTTCAAATAAAAAGCCTACACACACATATATTTGTTTACCGCTGAAGCAATTTCTTTCAGGCGCCATCATTTCTTTTTTTTTTTTTCAGTAAAATTCTTAACAAACGTTGTAATAATAAACAGGGAGCTTGAGCACACTTCTACTCATATTGAGACAGAAAAAAAAATGAACACCTTTAAGGACGATAGTTAATATTAGTGTGTCGTACGACATACTCTATGTTGATAGTTCAATGTCATAAGATAAAAAAAGTTTTCTTTTTTTTTTCTTAGCTTCTTTACATCGGAAACTTGTTCTTCCGGTTGTTTCTATATTAAGATTGACGAACAATGTCATTTCTTTTTTTTTTAAACATTAAAGCAAAATATTAAATGGTATGTGCAGATAATCTTTTCTTTTAATTACGTACTCATTTAATGTTCGTATTAGTAATCGTTGACTTTCTTCTTTTATACGAAATTGTTTATTTTCAAATGATAATGGTTGTATTAAATCCCAAACATACTAGATCAAAGAGAAAGCCGACAGTTGATTTTTTTAATATTTGAATAAAAAAAAAAAACTATACTCGTGGAGTAAATTTCTTCATTAATTTTAATAGAAGACGACTAGTTGCTTCTCGGACCTAAATCAAATTAAATAAATTCTATTTTAATATTCTTCTTTTGTTTTTATTTACTTGATCTTTTCCATCACCCAATCGATCTACTATTACTAATAAAACTAAATGTAAAAGAACATTTTAATATTAATTTAAAGTTCTTGTCTTTTTTTTATACAAATTATACCACTATCAAGATATTGTTGAAATTCATTTGTATCTAATCTTTCAATTAATAATTCTACTATTCGAAGACCATTTAAAGAAATCTAAATACAATCTTTTTTAATAGATAAGATTATAATACATAGAAGAAAACTCATACTCGATAATTACTGCCTTCAATCCATTTAAGTAATCCATTAATAAAACCTGTTAAATCTTCACAATCAATAGAATTATTTCTGTTAGATAAATAATTTTCAAGTATAGAAAAACATTCTAAACGAACACTTGGTTCTTTTGACAAAACATTTGGATAAAATTGATCAAGATTTTTATTTTCTATTATTGATGATATATCTGCCATCTGTACTTATGTATTGAATATCAAAATGTGCAAAAAGAACTGAGCTTGAATATGAATTAATCTATGGATATTGCATTTGGATCCAATAAACAAAGATAAATAGAAAGAATGGCTTAGAATCATACAGAACGAAAGAAGAAAAAGAATTATTAGTCATTTTGCTTGTAGAATTCTTCTTGTTTAAATGATCATTGGAGAAAGATATTGACCAATACAAATTGCATATACTACAATCAATTTGTATATCAATAACATGATAAATTACTTATAAGCCTTTGAAGACTATAATAATATTTGTTAAGCAATTCTTTTTTTTGTTGAATAATAAATAATAGATTAGAGGTCGCTATTCAAAGTAGAATTTTTTATATCGAATGTTTTTTTTTCCAGGAAACCTATATTTGACTACAGGAAGTTATTTGTTGATGATTATAAGATTTATTATGCATTGTTTTTTTCTTCTTTTTTTTTAATGATTTATAGTTTTTATTCAGGAAATAAATTTATTTGTTTGATTGAACAGTTGCCTATGAATTGAAATATTGTTATGTTTAACTAAATAATATATATATATTTATTAAAATATACTAACTAAAATATTTATTACATTTATAAGATTTAAATAGGAAAAAAAAATGGATGCGAGATTATTTACTACGAGATGTTCTATGAGAATACTGACGATTACTAAAATATACGTAGCACTAATCAAAATTTTTATTTTTTACTTGTTATATGCATTCCAAAAGCCATCATATCAAACTACGAAATACAAATGTTTGATTCATTTAATGTTGTATAATAGAGCTAGCCTTGTTCAACTATTCAGCGCTACTTTACTATTAAGAAAATAGCGATTAATTGTCTCATAAACGTCTAGTAGAATTATATTTCTATCAATCAAAGAATTTTCTAATGGCATATACCAAAACATAGCTCATCAACAGCTAAATAAAATGAACAATTTATAATATTGTATATCATTTATTTCACTGAGCTCATATGAGTAGAAAAGGTCTCAATTTAGCAGTCAATAATCTCCGTTTGTTGACAATATATCTACTGTCATATTTCAAAATCAAATGAAACCAAGTTGACTTTGTAACATATTATATAGCTTTTGACTCTCTAAAAGAATAGTAATAAAAGTATCGAATAAAAAGTTGACCTTCAAGGCAACACGAAGCTTACACTATCATATAGATAGGTAAACCTTATGATTGAAGTTCACTATCAATTGTAATCTAGTAGTGTATAGAGTATCTTTTAATAGAGAATTAGCAAGTTCATGATAAATATATGACAATGAGAGTTCAATCCTATAGTACTAAATTACAATTAATAATGAACTTTAATCATATGACTGTGGTTAGCGCTCTGTACATTATCGATGTAGAGGATTATTATTCAAGTTCGTGACGAAACATTTTTTTTTTTTGAAAGGACTGTCTATATAATTGTAGAAAGAATGAAGTTCTAATTTTTCGGAGATGAAAAATGTCATGAACAGAGGACAATAAAAAGTTCCCGAGATTGTTTTCCTTGAGGCTGTTTACTTGTCAATTAATAGTGTAAACCTCATATTGTCTCGAAGGTAAATTTTTTATTCGATATGTTTTTACTATGTTGTAGAGAATCAAAAACTATACAACAAGTCAAAACTTTTGGTTGGCTTCGTCTGATTTCGATATATAATAGTAGATATAATATTAAAAAAACTGATATATTATTTGATTCGGTTGTTGATGAGTTATCTTTTTGGTATACTGCATGAAAAAATTCTTTAATTTGTAAAAGTATAATCCCAATAGACATCTATGAGACAATTAATCACTATTTTCTTAATAATAAGAAAGTAGTATTGAAAAGTTGATCAAGGCTAACTTTACTCTAAAGCATTGAAATGAGAGAAGCATTTGAATTTGGTGGTTTTAAATTATTGATGACTTTTCGAATGCATACAAAATCAAAAATTTTAATTTTTGACCAATGCCTTGGTCCCATGACCTCTCCATGGAGGCTCTCTTAATGATTTGAACCAGTGTTAATATCGCGTTTTAAGTAACGCTCGAATGTCGGCACAATACGATTATATGTACCATCCATATATGAAGATGTAAGAATAAAATCAGCTGTTGATAAATTACATGCCATTGGAACATTCCAAACACTTGCTAAACGTGCTAATGCTCGAACATCAGAATCATGTGGTTGAGCCTCAAGTGGATCAGCAAGAAAAATAAGCATATCAATACATTGTTCAGCTATTTTAGCTCCAAGTTGTTGATCACCACCTAACGGACCTGATTTATATCTGATTATTGGAATACATAATATGGATTCAATTAAAGATCCTGTTGTACCAGTTGCATGAAGTTCATGTTTAAGTAATTGATCTCGATTTCGTTTAACCCATTCAAGTAATTCACCTTTTTTATTATCATGTGCCACTAAAGCAATACGTTTTCGTTTACCGATTTCGAATGATTGAGATTCAATGTCTGACGTCATTCGCAACTAAAATATATTTAAAGAGATCTAAAATACAAAATAAAGAACTAAATGATTAATAATAGTTCATTCTTAATTAAAATTACATCATTTTATGGAATAATCATAATACTAGGAATTCTTGTGAGCAGATAGTAGTATAAAAAAAAACTAAATTCTTTTTTCCTTCCTAAGTATTTTTCTTCTATGCATACAAAAATTCAATCAATAATAACTGTCTTTATAGTTTTAATTGTTAATAAAATGAAATACAAAAATAAAAATATCAAATTAATTATTCTTATATAGCTCATTTAGTTTTCGAATTTCTTATCATTCAAAATTTGTCAAGTGGAAAAAAAAATAAAAAAAACTTCAATACCTAGCATATTTGTTCTATGGCGAGCCTAACTTTGATTAATTCTACAAAATTACAAACAAAAACAAAACAAACGTAAATGTCGCAATGATTAAGTTTCTTGAGGTTTGGAGCGTTTTTTTAATATATATTGTCCTATTGGACTATCAGCAAAAACAAAGCCAAGTACTATACCAGCACCCACACCAGCTATAAATCCGAATGAAAATCGAAATAAGCCTTTGTACATGTTTAATAATCCAATGAGAACAACCGAACTAATGAAAATATATTGAGTGGGTATTAAAGAAGATAATGAAAATTGTTTTGATGGAGATGAATTCTCATTGTTTCGCATGATTATTAATTCTATCTACAAATTGATTGATGAATAAATAAAAAAATCTCATGCATCAAAAAAAGATGTAAGGGATATTTTATTTCAAAAAAATGTCGACAAAAACAACAAACATACTTAAAAGAAAAATCAATCAAGATATAACTTATCAGCTGATTGATGGTGTTGATGACTATCTCGTATTTTTCTTAAAGCTTCAAGAAAATCTGCTTGTGTAATAGGTCTTAATTGTAATATAGAATTTTCTTCATTCGTTGTCGTTGATTGATTACATAATTCAACAATACGCTGCATTGCAGCTTGTCGACATATTTCATTAATATCACTACCTGTATGATTTGTTGTTTGTTGTGCTAGTTGTTCAATATCAACATCTGTATGAAGTAATTCATTCGATAATATTAATTGAAATATTTTAATACGATGATTTAAATTTGGTAATGAAATATGATAACGTGTTGGCATACGACGTAATATAGCTGCATCTAAATCTTGCGCACGATTTGTTGCACCTATAATAAGAACACGATTTGATAATGGATCACTATCATCAGTTTCTAAACCATCCCATAATGTCATAAATTGAGTTTTAACCTAAAAAGAATAAATATAGTTCATTTGTATTTCAAAATTTGTTCTATACCATTCGTGTACATTCATGATCATCATTTTGACGTGTGCGCATAAATGAATCAATTTCATCAATAAAGATAATTGCTGGTTGTAATTTTTTAGCTAAAGAAAATATAGCAGCTGTACGTTTTTGAGATTCACCGTACCATTTGTCCATTAGAGATGTTACCTTGAAAGAAAAAAAAAGTATAATATTAAAATCTTAGAATAATAAAAATAATCTTGTATGAAATATTTAGGACCCACTTCTTTGTCAAGAACCTATTGTTATATCAAAATATTGAGCGGGCTCAGGAGCTATTATAATAGCAAGGGCTCAAAAGTAGGCTTCGACGTAATAAAGATTTCTTCTCATAATCTAATGATACAGTTTTAGAACTAGTTTTAAAATGCAACCAAGATCTGGCACTACAATTTAACAGAGTCCAACATGTCGAAATATTGTTTGTTTACTTCTAATGAAATTTTTCTCGAAAAATTAGGTTGCCTCTATGGAAAAGCATTTCTTTTTCTTTCAAAAAGTCGAAAATGCAAAATTTTGGCTTTGTTAAATTATAGAGTGCAATTTACTCTTCAAAAACGTGAAATAAAATTTGTCCTAAGAACCAAGCATTCATAAAAGTAACGCCTTAAAAACGGTTTTACTGTGGAAAGAAATATAAAATTTTCAAACTCTGAGACAGTATACTTATATATAAATACACGGATGATACGCATAACTATAATACACTGAAAGAAATAGAACTCATACGAAGAGAACAAGGATACTATATGAGAAATCGATAGTAGGTGTCGTCATTCATCGAAGAATTAAGGAAACAGTAATGATGCAACGAATCTAAATACACGAAGAAAGATGAATGAGTGAAGAATACCACTGATAGTTTCAACATCTGTGGTCTGTAGATGCCTTTGTCATCGAACTATCATTAGAGGATTAATGACGTAATCGCCTAGTGACTAGAGAAAAATGAGTTGTCAGAATAAACGGCATTTCTCTCATTGAAAACTGACTCCACAATAACAGATATGCGGACGTCAGTGACTATTTAGTTAAATCAAAACTAAAACACATATGTGTGCTTCCTGTTTCGAAAGGATTAATAGAGATTACATAAGTATTTGGAAATTTTTCCATTGTTTTATATTGATATAAACAACTTTTATAAGATGCAATATCAATAACAAATCATTTTTCTACATGAAAATATTAGCATTCAACAAATTCGTTTTGCTTGTTGTTTTATATATTAACACATACTTGAAGATTAATAAAGTTTGCTCCTGCTTCTTTAGCAATGGCTTTAGCTAACATTGTTTTTCCACAACCTGGTGGTCCATAAAGTAAAACACCTTTTGGTGTTGTTAATAATTTTGATTGATTAAATAATTCTGGATGTTGTAATGGATAAATAACCGTTTGTCGAACATTATCAATAATTTCATCTAAACCACCAATATCTTGCCATGTAATATTAATATCATTTGGATTAATTAAATCAGCTAAAAGACACATTTCATATTCATTAAAATTATTGACAAGTGCTTTAGGCAAATTCATTTTCTTTGAAATGATTTCTGCTAATTCTCTTTGACGTTTTTTTTCTTCATGTGTTGGATCAAGTTGTTTCATTACATAACGTATTAATAAATAACTAAAGACCATTGATCCAACTAATGCTAATGCACGTGTACCTAATGATAATAATAATGAACGTACTTGAGGATCTTTTAAATTGAATGTACGAGATGTTTCTGTTAATTCACGAGAAAATTTTGATGGTAATACCATTTTTTTTTTATTAAAAATTCTGTCTGAAAATAAGATACATTCTCTTTTCATTTACAACACATATGCATCAACTTTTCTGAAAAAATATGACATTTGTTTCTTTTTTTTAAATTTTTAAATTCTTAAACAAACAAACAACAACAAAATAAGTAAAATTTGATGTCTATCGATTTGAACTGGTATTAGCTACACGACGAATACGTCTAAAAAGAATAAAATTAGCATTCGTTTTTATTGCAAATAATTTTTTACCTTGTATTTCGATCTTGATCACGAATTTTTTTATCAATTTCAGCATCAGTTAATGTTTCTAAAAATGGACAATATTGTTCTGCATCATGATTAGTACGCACAGGAACATCTATTGTTGACATGGATTTTTCACTATTGAAAAAAATTTATTTTCACAAAATATAAAAATAATTGAATGTTATTTGGCTAATAAACCTGTATGAAAATGTTTTTTGATGCCAACTAAGTTGTCCACGAACACTATACGCAATAGCTGTTACAAATTCACCACCAAGACCTTTTTATTATATACAAAATCCACATTTTAGTATGTCTATTACTATTCAACTTACCTAATTCAGCTGCTAATACACGAGCAAATTCTTCTGGGCTATTTTGTTGATCTGACATATCCCATTCAAATTGATCGACTAAACTTACATTACCAACTTGAATATTCAACTAAAATATTACAAAGAGAAATTTTCAAGATCAAATAAAATTTTTTATTAAAAGTTTGAATGGAAAGAGTGAAATTATAAGTCAGAAGTAAAGTACAGAAAGCAAAAACAAAAAAGATTCTATAGTCTCGTCTGATTTACATTAAACGATTTAAATGTTTTCAAAATTGAAACAGAAAGTACAGAACAATCCGAAACTGAAAATGATAAATGTCAGTCTAAATTAAAGATTCTCTACAATGAAACTTATTAATCTAAAATAGACAAATTACGTTTTAATCTGAAATTTTCGTATCGTTTTTGGAGTCAACTATTCCATTATATTATTTGAAAACAAACATATTATATACGGTCACTAAAAAAAGTTATTTTGTTTTTCGTTTTCAAATTAAACTTACTTTAATTATTACACGTTGATCACAATGTTCTCCTAGACAATCATCATGATGAGCTTCAAGTTGCTGTCGTATAGCTTGTGCAATAGCAGGTACAAATGCAATAGTATTTAAATCAAGATCATCACAAAGAATTTCAGCAAACATTTCTGGTGTAATCAATTGCTCTATATAAAAAAAGAATACATCAATTAAAAAAACCTTTTTTTTCTTGTTCATATTAATAAACCATTTTTATTCCATGTAAATGTATCTCGTAATTTTTGTCCTTCAATTTCCATATCAAGTCGAATAGGAACAAGATCTTCAGCTTGTTGAGCATTTTCAAGAGCAGCTGATATATCCATATGATCAAGACTATCACATCAAATTTCGATCAACAATAAAATATCCTAATAAAATATTTCATACCACAATGGAAAAGTTTTTTTCTTTGTTGCTGTTCGATTTCGATTAATTGGTGTAGCTGATGGTACAGTATCAAGATGATGAGAATCTGTTGAAATTGTTGGTAACCATGTTGATCGTTTCGATTTATCACTAAAATAAAGAAAAAAAGTTTATTATTATATTAATTGAAATTTCTTACGTGCGTGTTGTCATAACATCTGTACTCATTGTTAAAGCTCGATATTTTTCGTCGTATCCAATTAATATTTCCTCAACTTCACTTGCACGTAATAAAATTAAATTTGTTGGTAATGAGGATTCTAAACAACCTTCAAATAAAAAAAAAATATATGAGAAAAATCGAAAGAAGAAAAAAAAAAACAAATTTTAACTAACCAAGTTCAATTAACCATTTTCGTTCTTCTGATGTAATAACACGGCGCCACAAAGATGGATATTTTTTATAAAGTGTTCCGCGAAATAGGCGTAAATAGTTGCCCACCTTAAAAAAAGGACGCACAGAACAGAAATAAAAGCGTATAGAAACACACACGTAATTGAAGAACGTGGTAGTAGACTCTCTTCTCTCTCTCTTGTTTCTGTACAACTGACTGATAGTTTGACACAATGTAAAAGAACGAAACAAGAATGTATTTTAGAAATTTCTACTTACTTCTGATCCAATATACATTTTTTCTTGATTATCAGGAAATTGAAATGGAACTGGGCGTTCGCCGTAAGTTTTTAATAATGAATTTTTTGTAGGGATTGATTTTTTCATTGCTGAATCAGGCTAAATGAAATTCAAGGAACAAGTAATATATGTATTATAGAAATATTTCATAGTAAATACCTCCAACATATTAAAATATATGCTGATGAAGGATATGAAAAATTAATAAAACTACAAATAAAACACAACATAACAATAATACAAAGTGAGAATATCCTAGAGCAAAACGAGAACCTTGCAATAATATTTCAAATGAACATTTTTGTAATTATTCATAATTGGAATAAAGACATATGTTTATAATCATAAAGAAGCGAAATGCGTCTCTTTAGATCGAAGAAATCAGCTCAGTTACGTATTTAAAGTACATTCCAAAGAAAAAAGCCTAACAACAGGTGACTCGATTGGTCACAATTTTATGATCTATGAGGAACATCCAATGATAGATGTCGTTGTCTAGCCTTGTCTTTTGAGAATTGATTTCGATTAGAACTGTCAAGAAGCAATATCAGACCGATTGATTTTTTGAATACATTTAATGGCATTACTCTGCATTAATATATGATTCTAGCCTTAATTGTTTCACTTTATTTATTTTAACAAAGATAGTTCTTGTGTGAAATAATAAATCAAAGCAAAGAGACAAGCATCATAAATATTTTTTATACAAGAAATCCTTGAGTTAACAAAATGTTTTTGACCATATTAGTTCTGTTTGCATAATCGAAAAAAAAATGGTCTCATGATAGAAACAACAATAGATGATTACGAATACACTGAAGACATAAAAGAAAATATAGGAAATATGATGTAGGATATCTTAGGTCAGGATTCGAGTATTTCCTGAAAGGATCCCCTGCAAACAACTTTCCAAGGTAGAACTCGACGAGCTATATCCCAGCACATCATTCATTTTGCTCCAGCCAAGCTCTCCCTCCTTCCCATCAAACGAATGAAATCTCCAAATATCAACAAAATAACATTTAAAATGCAGTCAATTCTCGAATAATCTGTCGCGATTCACCTAGGAATACTTTCTAACTAACAATTGAACTTTCAAAGTCGATCTCGAGAGAAGGTGTGGGTTTCAGTCTTTTCTTAATCCATACCCACAGCCACATACGAGAGATTTTTGGTGGACGTTGAATTGTTGAATAAAATCCATATCTATATCAAATAATACTTAATTGACAATTTAACTGTCTTTGAAAACAAATATGTTTTAACCTTTTTCTGAAGACTTTTCTCGTTTGATATCGGTCGCTACGTATAGTGATTTAACTTGTTAAACTCCTTCCTGTTTGAAGTCTATTTATTCAAAACTATGGGAATGAACTGTCTGAGAATAGAACTCAGTATTCAGGTCAATGGTTATCTCTAAGGCTGAACAGTCCTATTGTTTGGTACATACTACTAAAGTATCGTGCTCAAACAGATCAACTATACGATATATATCGATTACGTTGTGATGTAAATCGATCCTTGTGGCTAATATGTGCTTTACCAGTGTGTATAAGGCGGGCAAGTGATGGAGCAGAAGAACTTCAAATCAAGCCGCCCTTTTGTCTGGAGCTATATTCTATACCAAAACGAATGGCTATTTTTTACTTTGATTACGCATAAATTATAGTGGAAAGGTATATGTGAAAATTTTTGTTTATATTTGTTCGATAGCCTTGTGTAGGAATCTAAAGCAATATCATCTACACCAATAATTTTACTAATAAGAATACCTTGTGGAAAATCTCTCGTATTCATTCGAACAATAAGAATTTCGCTTTTACTTATCGATGTCATATAAAGTCATATTGAATAGCAATAAAATGTCATAGCACTAACTATTGGAAATACTTTTGATGTTGTTACGTTTATTTGAAAAATAATATTTGAAAATTATCGAAAAAATAAATCTAAACTTATATTGACCATCCATTTTTTATCAATAAATTATTTGACTTATTTGAGAATAAAAATATATAAGTTTTTCTTCATAATCAAATATAACGGGTGTTTCATGTATAATGGGCCTTTTGTATTTTGACATTTCTCTTATTACTCATCTGTTCAGACTTGATTTTTTTTCTAAAAGATTCCTTTTTTGACGCTCTATAAAATAATATATTTTTCTTTTGTTTAAATAACGTCCGTCATTTTCTAAAGCATGCTTCAACCAAAATGGTGTTCTGAAAAATTGTTCACTTGGGACTGATCGTTTGGAGCGTGTTTTAGAAAATGATAGACATTATTTCAACAAATAAAAAATACATCATCAAAATACAAAAAGATTCATTATACTTGAAACATCCGTTAGAATCTTATTCCCTCTACTGAAAGGAGGGTCATACGCTGAGTGAGTTATCTTCGTTTGTTCGTTCGTATGTATGTATGTATGTATGTATGTATGTATGTATGTATGTATGTATGTATGTATGTATGTATGTATGTTCGTTCGTTCAGTAGAGCGTCGGAGGTGGACTGAGTTCATTCATTAAACTACGTGAGACAAAGTTTGACTCAAGATTTTTCGAGTCGAGGAATTCAAATCCGTTATCAGTTTTTTGAAATTTTGTACTGTATGCTGCCGTGAATAAGACACTTTGTTTCAGAAACAATTTATGTCAAAACTTTATCGATTCACCGAATCAGAAGAATAGTTTGGAAGATATTCATTGCTGAGTTTGAAATATCGCTGATAGAGTGAAGGGTTCTGTTGCGTTTGCATTCAATGCATTATGTTTTGCAGAAGTTTAAATAAGTTCGTACTGATCTCCGAAAACTTTGTTTTTCAATATGAGATCGGTTTTAGCTCGCACTTTGCAACTCATTTCAGTGCAGACGAAGCTCAGTTGGGAAAACTGACGAGGGAAGGTCCCCAACTGTCCAATCGCTTTTGAGTTCGGACCCTGTGCATAAGGTAAACCCCGGTGAAGTATGAAAAACTCCAAAAGGATAACGGCCCTTAGGCCTTCTGTTCAGAGTTACAGGGATTTTACTGGAATTACAGCCTATGGCATGGTATTTACAAAAATATCGAATGACGATATTTCGGGTTGAGATTTTGTCCATAGACAGGTCTAGTTGTGAGTAGAATGCCCCGAAAATTTTAGCTCAAAAGAATGTTTCCTTCCCGAGATATTAAAATCTCAAAAATCACTCATATTTCACGAAAGGTGCTAGAATTTTNGACTTTCCTGAAATAACAGTTTCTTATCATAAAATAAACTAAATTCATTGATTCTGGTGACGTTCTTAGTAGGAAAACAAACTCCAAAGGTTAATCAAACATGTCATGTAGTGGAAGACGGCTAAAAATTTATATATGAAGATATTTGTTAACTGCTTAGATTTTGAAAAATTTTGATGAGTAGCATTCAGTAAATTCTTTATATCTTTTGAAGAGAAACAGTTATCGACCTCAGACTTGCACTAATCGATAGAGGCTGAGCTAGCCTATGCAATCATTATATTATAGTTTCGAAAGCATATTGTTTTCAAAGCGGTTTATGGTCATCTTTAAAACCGATGTTGTATCTCAGAAGGAAAGCAATTGACTTTTTTCGTGGTCTTTATAAAAAGATGCAGTAATGTCGACTATAGATATTGTTGAAAACTCGAATCATTTCTCCCTTTTTATTTTAAAGTTGTTCAAAAAATGTCCACTCCTATTTAACTCTGAAATGGACATTAGTCATATATATATAGTTTGATTCTTCCTATCTTGAAATTAGAGCATCTTTTTAATAATCAAGCTCAGTCTGCAATAGATCGAGAATTGACCGTGCTAGCTCCATTTGATTCATTCTTTATAAGAGTTCGGACTGACGTTGATTATGAATATTTTCTTTTTACTGAAAAGGATTACTACACAATGGAACTGAACGATCACTTCAGTAATTTATCAGAGTATTGTAAAAAGCTTATCATCATGGTCATCACGTATTTACACGATCAGACAATTCCAGTGCTGGTAAAAGCTATATGAGAGAGATAAATAGTATGGCTTATTGCACCAAAAAAATAATATATGTTTGTTGATACGTCAACTTCTTGAAGATTATCATTTATCAACAAGAACCTCTCATGAGTAAATTATTGTCTGATGAATTGCAAAGACTCAGATAAATTACTAATTGTATCTTATATTGTTTATATTAGCCTATCGTTCAGACACTGTTTCACTTCACTAATCCTCATACTATTTCATACAATGGATGCTTTAATTAGTTTTGTATGTGGATGAGGAGTATTATTGAAATGAAAAATCACTTTTTGCTTATTAATTACTCAACGGATACTTGCAAAATGTGCGTATAATAAAAATTTTTGATTGTTAGCAGTTGCAACAAATATCGATTTCTCTTGAAGGAATAAGTAACGTTTGAGTAAGATCACCCAATAGATTTTCTAGTCCACTCAATCTGTGAGAAAAATCCAAACAAGACAAAGCGAGATCTTAATATTTCCACGTATGAGTGAAGTACAAATCAAGTATGATAGTTCACCGTATTTCTGAGTACTGAAGTCTTTTTTTTCTCCTGTGGAAAAATCTCTCTAGGTTGTGTAGAGCTAAGTGGCCTACTTTGAATCATTCTATTATCTACTACTGCTTCATTAAAAATGTATTTCAAAAAAACTGTTTATCCTTATCAAATGCTTCATAACGTCAATATATATTTTATCATTTTTCTTTAGATCTTGTTTTTCAACGATTTCGTAATTTATTAGAGGATAACTAAAAATTCTACAAAAACAAAACAAAATGTTAATGACATTATTAAGTTTTCATCTAAATACACATATTTAGATGATTTACAAAAAAAAACATTATAGAATTGGATTGATTGCATTTCTAAAAAAAAAGACTACTTAAACATAACATCCACTCGGCATTAGTACATTTAAAGGTGTCTACAAACATATATTTCACAACAAACAAGAATGGAGATATGACTAATTGATATAATAAATAACCGGTTAAATAGAGACATTTTTCCTTACAAAAAAAAAAATATAAGATACCGAAATAAAATTCTTTTCTTTTTAAAACTACCCCGCACATGATGTTCATATTTGTATATATTTTATGTATATACAAGTACGCCCATTTTAGGATTATTACTAAATAGCATGGAAAATTGTATAAATAATATTAAGAATAAATAATGAAAAGAGAAAAATTAAGCCAAGATTTTGTAAAAAATCAATTTTACGTTGTTTGTATGTATTTTGATCATTGATTGTTAACATATACATAAGATAAAAACCTGCAAGAATAAAAAAACAAGCAAATATAACACTCATAATGTTTGTTGTTTTTTTTTTCGTTAAAATTTGTTTATATCGTGCTAAACATAAACCAAAAAAAAAGGAGAAATTATGCTATAAGTGTGCATACATTAAAAAGAAAAGAAACATTCTAAAATCCTATATAAGACTGTTCACAAATACAGATAGCGAGAAAAAATGAACGATAACGCAGAGAAAGTAAAAAAAAAAGAAGAAGAAGGGGATAACATGATTAGACTAACTACACGCAGCAATGAAAATATTAAAGATGGCAAGAATGAATAAAAGACAAAAGACACAATTGTCTATATAATCGAGTTTATGCTGTTTGTACTGATCATTCAAGTCGATTCGCATCACATACATGAGAATCACACCTAGAACATAAGGAAAAAAAATTAATCAGAACTCAAACAATAAAACATACAATCACTAATAAACACTATTTTCAACAAGAATTATTTACATAACAAACAGTTAGAAAACTAATGAAATGTATGGAAAAAAAAAAATCTTATAAGTGACAATTAAAATTGAAACATTATAATTAAAAAGATCATATCAAATACGAATAAAAGAATAGTTAAAGCAGCTGGCAATAAAAGAAGGATTCTATCATAATATGCTAAATTTGCCATTAATGATGATGATGATAATGATAGATGATCGAGCCGTGTAAACAAAAGCAAATATAATTGAACAAGGCCTAGAATCGGGGAAGGTAAGTTTTGTAACGACGACTATTTTTTTTTTTACAAGAAAAATGCAGAGAAAAAATATATACACTATCGAATACACAAGATAAATCACAGATATCGAAAATAGGACAGACACGAAAGAAGAATAGCACAATTTTAATTCCAGAAAACACAAATTACTTTCTCTATTAAGAAAACTTACCAATCGAAGCACACATGAGAACCGAAATAATGCCAAGTGTTACTTGTGTACCATAGAATGAATGTGTTCGACCTTGTGTAAGAACATGTTTTAGTTGCACACTGTTACTCATGATGATAATCTAAGAAATAGAAAAAAGATAATCATGTTTATTTGATTTCACTTTTTTTTCTGTCAATCGATTAGTCAAGTTACTTATAAAACAAGAAACACAAAGGCGTAACGCTTCCGCCCTGATTTTGAAATTTGACTATGCAAAGACTCCCAATTTTGATACTAGTCTATGACGCATCCCTTCTATGTCCTTGAAAAAACAAATCATAAAGCCCAATAATGCAACAAAAACCATTCACAACCTTGAAATTTTCTTATCTATGCAGTTATGATAACACAATTTGGTCTATGTATATTTGTATTACTTAAAAACAAAACCGCAAAGTATTGCGATTATGCTACAGTTAATTGACTGCAAAATATTTTCTCGAATAGACTTCTCATCTAGCATTTTGATATATATATATGTGTGTTTCAAATATCGAAGATATGTTATAGTTTTATATTAAACTAGTCAACATACAAAAATTTGCTTTTGCTGATTTTTCGAAAGTAAAAATTGTATATATTTAGAAAATCGTAAGATAAGATTACAACTATGACAAGAAAGTCATTAGCACAATACACAGATATCATTACTTGGATATATTAATTAATCATAAAGTAATTTAATAGAATACGATCATCTATACTTTCTTTTACAAGTACTACAATAATATCATAATTATAAATATTGCTAGATGTAAAAAAAATCCTACTGTTTTATATTCAACATATGACAAATAAACTGTATGAATAACTATTACTAATAGCAAGATCGTGATCAACATAAAACGCATGTTGAAATAGTGTGAAAAATAATATGATTACTCTATCAAATATTTTCATTCTATATATAAGGTAGTAGAAAAAAGTTTAACAACAGCAAACAATTGTTTTTCTTTATAATGTGAAGTACCTAGCTTAATGCTAGAATTCATATATGACATATGATATCAAGATTTGTAAAAAGAACTAGACTCGATTGTTTTTAGATCCCAGAAGATTTTGTCAAAGCTATCTTGAAGAACACAAAATGAAGAATCGATGCATTTTCTACGATCTTCCTTTAAAAAGTATCACAAAAACCGAAAAAAAAAGCGTTTTTTAGTCGATTTGTTGATAAAGTTCGTTTTTTATGATGCTTTTAACTTTTTATGACAAAATCGTAGAAAATACAGCGCCCTCTTATTTTGTACAGAATTCTATGCTCTTTGAAATGTTACAGTTAAAAAATAGCTCTAATAAAGTTTTCGAGGACAAAAAAGTGCCGTGTCAGTTTTTTTTAGAAATTTTTCCATCATAGTTCATCTATTATAGAATGCATCAGTCAGAAAACTTCATTGCCTATTAAAATTACTATCCGGATTTGACGTAGGTACTTAACATTATACAAAAAAATACGCTATTGTTAAACTTTTTCTCCATCATCTTACATATGTTCAGAAATTTATACATATAATGTTTCTCAAAGTACAAACAGTAAGCTTCTTTAACAGAATTGAACAACTAATCACTAATGTTCTTTCTCACTTACCAATAGACACATGATAGTCATAGCTGTCTTTTTCATTGAATAAAATCGAGGATCTAATAAAATACCAGGTGGTTGCTAAAGAAGAAACATATATTTTAATCATTCGAAATAATAACATCTTAAATAGTAATCTTTACATTTTTATCTTGAGCACGTAATGCCGTTGGTATATAACGTTTAACATCGAATCGACGCTTTTCAGATTCAGATTCAACACGTTCTCGGTCAATCATTGGAGACTATAAAAGAAATATAATGAATAAAATAAAATAAACTTACATGCCGAATGATATTACAATAGACAACGTTGTTTATAGATAGAAAAAAAAACGAGAGCAATACTCACCTGTGCTAATTCGATGCCTTGTTGGTCGTCTACCGACATTTTTACTTTCTCTTTTCACTATGCAGATGATGCGTATCGACGAGAAAAACCGTCGTAAGAAGTATTATCTATATATTTGATCGATAAATTACTAAAAAAATTATTAATAACAGTTTTTTTTCGTCGACCTTAACTGTTCTGTACTTCTATCGCTCACTATGTAAGTAAATATAACAGAAATAATAATAAAGAAAAAAAGAAAAAACAACAAGAAACCACAAACAACAACTGCCATTGTGATAATAATGTCTATGTTAGGAGAGGCATCAATAATTTTCTCTTTTTCTTACTAGCTCGATTACCCTTTTTTTGTGATCGATCACAAAATATGCATATCGATGGGATACTGACAGAGGCAAAGTACAGGAGAAAACGGCATCAATCTTACAAAGAATAATGTGGGCCAAAAGAAAAATATGTGTAAATATGCGCCTTTCGCGAAGGACAATCGACAGGAAAAAAAAGAAAAAAATATGAGTCGTACATCTGTGGTTCTGATTTTTTCGTATGTGTATGTGAAATCGAGTAGACAGCATTACTGCAGTATCGAGAAAATAAAATATCTTCTAAAATGTACGAACAACATACATGTAAAACATATACCCCGAATACATGTTGTTGCGCTTCAGCGAGATACGCTTTCGCTATCTACCTGTTTTTACTTGCTCTCTTTTTTTCTTTCGCGTGTTTTTTTTTGTTACATTTAATCTCACTTCTCTTTCTTTTCTCTCATATATACTAAAATCAAGTCACGAAAAGAGAAATGTTCGCCAAATGACAACAAAAAGAAAGAATACCTAGACGTCATCATTGTAACTCATAGTAGCCGTGCTTATGCATTTATTATTCTCAGATTTTTTTTCTTCTATTATTGACATTATATTCTATTTCTATGGATGATTGAAAATAACAACAAACGAAATGTATTAAGTCATTTATACAAGCAAACAACTGACTGCTATGTTTTAGTTATTTTTAAAATAAAAGACTTTAATTTTAAACAACAATAATTAAAACAAGAAGCAAAAAGATAGTTATCAATACCCTATAACTACGTTTAATATGTATATGTTGTTTTTTTAATGACAAAAGTAAACTAAATGTAAATTTAAGATAAGATTTCTATTGAAATGGATAGGTAGTCTAGATAATGCATTTTTTTTTTTACATATTTCTGTCCTTTAACCGCAGCTGGCATAGACTCGTCTAATGGCTTTAATGCATGCCAGCATGATTGAGTTGTAGCATTCTTCTCTTTATCATCGGCAAGTTAATGTCGAAAACAATACTTTTCTTTTTTAATGTATATCTCGATGAAAGAAAGAAAGAAAAAGAGAACCATCGCAAAAAAAAGCCCATGTCAATGTTGACAACAAATTATTTTTAGACAATCAAATAAACAAGTATTACTTACGGAATATTTTCTTGGTTGATCAATAGTTTCAATTTCAGTTGTTGCCTGTTTAGATACAATTGATATTACTGTTGGAGGATCTGTTTGATCGACAGTTTTAGTTGGATATTGAATAGTTGTATCCATAGGTAATGATGATTTTGCTTTTGATAATGGTGTATTGCCCCGATCTGCAAAGAATGAATAATTATCAGGGTATAATGAATCAGGATAATAAATTTTTGTCACAAGTTCGGAATGAGATGCATGCTGATTTGTTGGTAGTAATGATGATGAAGCTTGATTCTCATGATCCTCGTCAACTATTGTTTCGTTATTCATATTATTAAATGAAGAGTCGATATCAAATTAGACGAAAGAGGTTTTGTACGCGATGATGCTTTGTAACAAAAGACGAAAAACAACCAAAACACTTGGCATATGTGAAGGTGCGTACTGGTTGTCGTAATTATTGCGAAGAGAAAGACAGAAACGAGAAAGAGGTAGTTGGTTTCTTTTCTTTTTTCTTGTCTATCATTTCTTCACTCAATTGATGCACAACAATGTGTTACAACGTATTTATTATTAGATATTAACGATCGATAGATTTTCTCTCTATTGTAAGGTCCACATATCGCTTCTGACGTGTTTATACAATTGCAGTGTGATATCAAGGCTACTATGATCTTTCTTAATGATATCCAATAAGAAACAGGAGAAAAATGATATATGACCAAGACAAAAAAAGGGAACATATAGATTCATATTAAAAATTACGAAGTAGGTATGTGTGCGAAAATATAAAGATAATATTGGAAAGTGTGAATTGATAAATTACTGATAAAAAAAGAATAGATAAAAGTAGAATAATTGATTTTTTTTTAACAATATTAGTGCATGAAACTAATTTTATGTATTCATACATGTTCACATTTTTCATTTCTAACTCACTTTTATCAAGTGTTTGAAATTTGACAATGCTTACGAAATTCTTGTTCGAAGATTCAGCCATAGAAAGTATATATATATATTAAGATCTCAATCGATTAACATCTTAATGTAAAGTCTAGCGCGCATTTTCTCTTTTCAAAGGTATCTATATAATTAAATGTAAAACAAAAGAAGATACGTAAAGTTGTCACATCTTTGCATATATGTGCATTTATGTGCGTGCGTTCTTTGGAAATTATCAATGTCGGGATTGACATTTAGAGTATTAGATATTTTTGTCTATTTCGAGAGGAGGAGTATGTTTGAATATGTCGTTATTATCAAATTTAATTATTGTAAGAGTAGCTTACCGTAATCTTCTATAATGTAGCTTTTCTAAGATCGTCTAACGTAGATATCGATTGGAAAAGCAATTCTAAGTCGAAGAGAAGATAGAATGAGGATGGTAATTTATCAATACAAAACTAAAAAGCCCGGAAAAGAAAAATACACAGAATTAGAATGGCAAGTATTCTATGGTACATTAGTTTGTATAACAGCGGGTGTTGTTTGTTATTTTTTGTTGTTGATGTCATGCTGCAGACCATAATATGTCATAAGAACAAACGCCAAAAAAAATAAATGGGGTGAACGTCAATCAACTCAAAGAAGACAAACGAGATCTAAATATATCAGTGCTTGCTTAATTATGAATTATTAATAAAAATCCATATAACAGTATACTATGTTCTATAATACATAGATTGATTGAAGTCTGTCGACAAGCAATGCATTTTGTGATATATTAATAGTGAGCAAACTATTAAAGTATACTTACCGTCATCATTTATTTATAGAATACATTTTATACATTCCTATTTTGTCTTAATTTTGATAGATGCAATAGAAAAAATATGTGTTTCTCATTTTGTTTTACTTTGTGGATTTTGAAATCTGGAATTGAGTACAATAAAATATAACTTACCGTCATCGAATGGAAATAACATGATTGATGATGAATGAAAATCAAAAAAAGTAATTTCTAAGGGATGGATACTTGTTGATGATATATAGATCGATTAAATGAACAAAGAAATTACACATACGTATTATTATTGTGAATTGAGAAAGAAAAAAAAAAAGATTAGAACAATAGTGTAATATATTCAAGCTTTTTTTTTTTGTTTTTTTCTTGAGCCTCATCTACAAAAGAAGAAGAAAGAGGATAAATGACAGTCTAATGATGAACATGTAATCATTACGATTGACCTATCTATTGTTTATGAACAGTTATCTTTTTGTAGGATTTGCTTTTGCTAGCTAAAAATATTATGTACAAGACAAAGCAATGAGTTTATTGATAAAACAAAGAGAAAAAAAGAAATCAAGTTATCAAATTACAATTATGGGAAGATATCGATAAATGGAAAGAAACCCTTTTTTTTTTACACAAAAGATAAACACATGTAGTATCTTGTTCAATGATTGCTTTATTTGCTCTTTATTGAATTACTGTATTAGTATGTAAAAGAAATTCTCATGGTATTGAAGAAACATTGAATTTAAACTGTACCTTTATAGGTTTCAGAATCATATCAAAAAATGAATGGAATTACAATGCATGTTTAATGTGTTGTGATATCAAGTATAATCATTTCAGTTGTGTATTTTTAATTGAATTCATCTTTGAAAACAAATGACAAAAAAATTAAAACTCGAAGTTCGTCAATTTTTGTTTTAGATGTTTTTTTTACAAGAAATACAAACAAAAAATATTATAATTATTGTTTACTAAATGTCAGCTGTAAAATATATAAACATCCTTTTTCTTTGCATAAAATTCTTCGTAGCTTCAATAACTTTATCAGTTGCTCTTTTTTCGATAATTGATGGATAGGATGCTTTTTTTTCTCTTTACTTATCAGATAAGACATGACATATGCTATTCAACGAGTTGATGCAATTCTGATAACTATTTCAGCTAGCAGCAAGGCTACAAAAACTAAATTTTCAGCACTGAATATTCCGCCCATGGGATTTTGTTTGATACGGCAGTATCTAAGGCTTGACGTACAATCCCACGTGTACTAGCAATAAATGCTAATTTTGGTTATATCAAATATTATTATTATTATTTTAAAAATTTTCACTTTCTGAATCTAATATATATTTTTTATCTGAACAAAAATATTTTTGAATGTTAAACTATGCGTATTTGATACTTGCTGGCCTTTATTTCATTCTTGTAAATGAGAAAAATAAGGATATTATTTTGTACTAAATTAATAGAAATATTTATTTTTTGACCTCATATCAAATCGGAACTGTCATTGTCAATTATCAATACAGGAGATGCTTTGCTAGAACATACTCTTGAATCAGGATTGTTACGAGCCAGACGCAGATCTGATTGGCTATATTCCTACAAAAACATCTTTGTTTATATTTATGTTTGACAGAAAAGATCTGTAATCTCCATTTGTCACCCATATTTTTTGTTGCTGATAAGTAAAATAAATAAATATGAAAGAAAATTAATGAATAAAAGTCCACACTCTCATATAAATGATCCATTTTAGTTATCACTTTTCTTTCGAATCGACCTTTGATACTAAAATAATTTGAACTCGCGCCAATTTTGCTTATATAGGGTAGTGTAAAAATGTTTGTTTCAGAGAGTAATATTGTGATTTAAAATAACATCAGTAACAAATTTTATATCAAATTAAAACTCGTCGAGTATAAGATTTACTAATATTAAATAGTAACGCTAGTGGCAAATTTTCAATGTTGAATTCAAAAATTTCTAAAATTCAACGTCATATCAACAGAGAAAAATTGCATTCATGAGATAGTAAAAAGTAGATCTGCTTGTTTAAAATAATGAATATTAAAAAGTAATATTTATTTTTTAAAATTTGATGGGTATGAACATAAAATAGTATTAAATATGTCAAAGTTTATTTTCATGTTTACCAAAACAGATGAAATATTTTTGTTTTTAGTTTCTTCACTGATAACTATTTCCTTCAGTTTCATTTTTTTATTATTGTTCTAATACGTTTAGATCCTATATCCAGTACTGTATGATATGTGTCATTTTGTTTGAATTATCTCATGAAAGGAATTTTTCTTTATTCATACGACGTAAAATTTAAGAAGTTTTCTTAATTTGATGTTAAAAATGTGCTATATCTCTTACAATTTAGTATTAATGAATTCCATATTCGACGAATTTTTATTTGATATAAAATTTGTTGGTGATGTTATTTTAAATCATAGAGTCACCCTTCGGAAAAAGAAAACAATTTTTAGGCACCTTGTTTGTATTTATTCGAAGAAGTAAATGAGATTTTGTTTTATAATTGACCATGAAAACGAATTATACGTTCATAGTTTATCAGATGTTCAATATCTACTTTTAATAGAGAAAATATGACTTTATAAAAGAGAAATTCAAGTTCAGAAAACTGTTTCTCTAAATCTATTCAATTTAATCTTAGTACGCTTTGTTGGAAAGATCAAAAATGTTTCATTAAAATTGGGCATTTTTGCCGATGATTGCTTGTATTTTTCTTACATTTATCCGAAGATTGACTAAAAATGAAAATATCTTTTTTATGTCAAGTACTATTAGAGTGTTTAAATTAAGTCTTTAACCAGATTTTCCTTATATGATAATAAGTATTAATTTTCCGAAATTAAAATGTATCTCTAGTTCTATCATAATGCTCTACGTTTAAAATGCTTTCGTCTTCAGCAAATTTTCATGTAGAATATTGAATTTTTTTTTTGTTTGGTATAGACATGTAACAGTTTCCAGTTCAATGAATCTGAAGAGTTCAGTGAAAAAAAAAATACTGCTTATCAGCTTCTCTCATAAGAATTCCAACTAGTGATCGACTCTTTTGCGCATGTACTAGACTTATATAACAGCTCGTAAGTTTGTGAGCTAGATGGTATGCAGCTCCATCTGTTGTCTTACTATATATAAGTGATATCAAATTAAGAATTATTTATTCACGAATTATTTCAATATGAACAAGAGTTAAAATATCAGATGCACAAATTATGACCTTTGAGTTTTATATTATCAATATTTGATTATCCAGATGATCGGAAACTGTCACATATAAAGCACAATAGAGCAAAAAGAACTGATCACTAGTGCCATTCGTATGAAAAGGAATAGGAGTTGATATCGCATTATTATCAAACTTCTAGTTCAACATTCAAAATTGATATGAGAAACAAATGTTGTATGAAGAATAAAGATCTTTTTCTCTATATTCCGAAAATCAAACTGCCGCTAGATTTCGCTTAATTATGCATTCATTTTCAATTGTACAAAAGCGATAAAAGAATTTTTTGATAACATTTCTATGAAACATTTCATGGCAATTCATATTCGA